TCCCCCCCCCCCCTAAAAAGAGCCCCCACCCACCCCCCTGCCGCCAAGGTCGTCATTGCGACGAAGACGGATCTTCTCGATCGGCCAGGTTGCTTGTCCTCGGATCAGGCCGGGTCTTCCGTGAAGGAGCAGGGGCTGGATCGTATCCCCACCAGCACCAGCATGGACCAAAATGCCCAGAGCAAACATTAAAGCGCTTCATGAGGGTAGCGGCTGTACTCGAAGATCCGACATCGCGGAGGCGTTTTCCTGCCGTCTCCAAAAACTAACAAAGGAAGCTGAGCCTTACGTCCCAAGGTCCTGCAACCCAAACCCTACCGCCCTAAACCCCCAATCCTGTAAGCCCTAAAGCTTAAATTAAACCATTCCCTGCCAAAGCCGCAGATGGCTCGTTTCTGCCCAGGGGCATCTATTCAGCAGCGAGAGAGGCTTAGAGCCAGGGGCTTAGCACAAGGAGGCTTTGCCCTTCCTAAGAGCCCGGGATCCTAAACCCATCCATCTAGGGTTTAGGGTTTAGGGTTTAGGTTTAGGGTTTAGGTTTAGGGTTTAGGGTTTAGGGTTTAGGGTTTGGGGTTTGGGGTTTAGGGTTTAGGGTTTAGGGTTTAGGGTTTAGGGTTTAGGAACCCTAAGCTCCCAAAACCTGATCTCTGAAGCTTAAGAACCCCATCAACCCCAGCCCAAGAAGGGACGAAAGACCAATTGAGTTTGGGGTTTGGGGTTTTGGGCTTTTGGGGTTTGGGGTTTGGGGTTTGGGGTGATTAGTCAGATTTCGGGCTATTAGGGGTATCACGGTTTCTTAGGGTCATCATCAGGGGTTGGACTTTTGGGGGTGCCCGGCTGCCCTTCTAACCGGGAAACCCTGAGCTTGAACCCTAACTCGTTTAAGTTTAAACGCCTAATCCCCAAGCCCTGAACCCCCCTTACCCGAAGGGTCCATGTCACCTCATTCGCATATACTTGAGCCCCAAAGTCCCTATACAGGAGGTACCATATAAGGCACACGTATTCCCTAACTAGGTACGTGGACCCTTAGGGAAAGCTCAGAAACCCTAACCCCTAAGTACCCTAACCCCTAAACCCTAAGCCCTAAAAGTTTTAGGGACCCTTAGGGAAAGCTCAGAAGCAGAGAGCCCCAAGGTTCTTCGAGACCTGCTCCGCAAAAGGCATCGTCGATGCCCCGCCCGCAAGCCCAGACGTATGGGGGTTCCCGGAATTCGGGGTACCTTATTGGGGTCCTTATCATAAGGGAATCTGCAGAATCCTACTATTTGAGGGTCTATAGTAGGGGTCCCTTATGTCGTAAACCCCCCCCCATATGACACACAACCCCATCAGGATTTTTGAGGGTTGCAATTCACATTTTGGGCTCGGGTTTTGGGGTTCAGGGCTGGTCCGTTGAGGGCGCTGCTTTAAGGATTTAGGGTTTGGCGCGAGTTCAACCCTGCACGTGAGGCACCTGGGGACCCTGAAGCCTCAAGCCCAAACCCTTTTCGGCTGGATGTAGTTGGGGTTTAGGGGTTTAGGGCTCAGGGTTTAGGGCTAAGGCTAAGTGTTAGCGTTGAGGGTTTAGGGTTTGAGGGAGAGATGGTACACCTTAGAGTTTGGGGGAGAGGGGGGGGGGAGGGAGGGACAAACTTTGGGCTGATCTGCCCATGCCTTTCCTGGACCTACGGCAGTTCGGGGTTTGTACTGAGCAGCTCAACTTCCGAATCCTAAAGGTGCAGCCTTTGCAGAGCCCCAAACCCTTTTGGGGGTTTAGGGTTTTGGGGTTTAGTGTTTTGGGGTTTTAGTATCCGTTTCCCGTGTTAAGAAGCGACTTCCGCGTCCGAAAAGGGGGGTGGGAAGGCCGCGACAAGTTTCAAAAATCGCCCAACCAAAAAGGGCACCTTGTTTATTCCTAGGTTACTCCTAAGTCTATTAAACCCTCAACAGAACACCCTAACCCCTGAGGCCGCCTCAAAACCCAAGATCTCGAAGAGGTCCTGGGATGCCCTTTTCTCGAAGCCCCTACACTTTCCCTAAACCCCTAAACCTCTATAAGTCTACAAGCCTGGCAACTAAAACCCAAAGCTCTAAAACCCCAAACTTCAGAACCTCCGTAAGCCCCCTATAACCCGTATTCCAAAAACCCTTAAACCCTTAACCCCATTTTCATGAGCCGCCGAGGTTCCACTTTCTGGCCGAGCGCTTTCACCACAAGTACGGAGATTCGGCCTAGACTGTCGAGCTTAGGGTCTGTGTCTAGGTTGAGGGTTTAGGGTTTAGCGGGGTTTAAAATGTGGGTTTAGGGTGCCGACCTTGGGTGTGAAGTTCCAGGTTTGGGCTACAGAGTTCGGGTTTGGGCTACAGAGCTCGGCAGCAGCTGGTTTGCCAAGATCCTTCGTGTCAAGAGCCGGATGTTGAAGAGAGCTCGGCTATTGAATCTCATCTCCGCAGATACCACCTGGATGGGGAACATGAATCAAAGGAGCCCCAAGGAGGGGGCGGGGGCGGCAGAGGTAGCACTCACCTATTCCCATCACCAAGTCAAAAAAACAAATTCTGTATGTTAGAAATCAAAATTGCATAAGAAAAGACGACAACAAAGATAAACAGTTGGCCCAAACAATGTGGGATCGCAACAGCTCGTCCGACTCCCTGCATCTTGACGGCTTGGGGCCTGGGGATCCCAGATGCTCACTGCTGAGAGTGCTTGAGGCTTCGGAAAAAATGGGTATTTCCAACAATAGGAGTTCCCCCCCAAGCTTGGGATGTTCCCCCTTATACGAATAGTAGGGGGGATTCTAGTACCTCCCATGATAATCCCTATTCAGGACTGCGAGTAGGAGGGGTTTTAAGAAGCCACCCCTCAAGTAGGCCCTTGAGAGATCCGGGTGGCAAAGGAGAGCGCAAAGCGGAGCTCGAGAACATCCACTGAGAGCCGCACCATGTCTCACCTCTGCACCTACAAAGTCTGCTTTCTGGATTCCATTGAAGACTCAAGACTCAAGGATCAGCTCCACACAGTTGCACAACATATATATATATATACACATACATATGTACACATATTTACCATATACATATATATATATATATATATATCTATATATATATATATATATATATGTGTGTGTGTGTGTGTGTAAATTCGGTGTGAGTGGTTTTTGTGGAGGCACGAGAAACCCACAGCCGGAAGTCCCATATCCCAAACACGAAGTCTATGCTGCAAAGAAGGGACAGTTGAAGTAGCTCGCCCTGCGCAGAATTTGCCGAGCTCTGCATGAGAAAGAAGGAGCCAAAGCATTGCACCTGAAGTGACTGTCTTAGGGTTTCGGCTTTTTGGGAAGTGGGAGAGTAGCTTTCTGCTTCCTACACCACAACAGTAGAGCTGCGCGTCTTTAGAGTGCTGCTGACTTGCACTCGGGCTGCTCCTCTTCGGTTCACATGCCTGCCCCACCCCACCCCCACTAAACCCAAACAGCGTGGTCCTGGCAACTCGGTTCCTTTAGGTCCGTTGATTTATGGGTATTTCTTTAAATGAGGGTTTGTTTTGGGGCCCTTATTTGAAGGGTGCCGTACTATATAGGGAACCCATAAAGGACCCTAATTTAAACAACGACCCATATATATTGGCTATAGTTACAAGCGTATGCCATAAAGCCTGTAACTTTGGGAATGGCTGCGCCTCGCTGCTTTCTTCGCTTTGGCTGGCCCGCAATGCAGAGACAGGGTCTCCTTTCAACTCCATGGGGGTGTTAGGTTCATAGCTCGGAAGTGGAGCATGGCACAAACTGAGCTTTGCTTACTTCATCTGCTGCTAACACGTGCACTCCGGTCATCTAACAGACGCTTGCAACTTTGTGTTACACAGCGCGTGATTCGACTGCCGGGGCCCTCTTGCGCCAGCGTCGCCCGGCATGAGATTCCTGCGATGGGATCGAGCGCTCAAGCTATGCATGGACAAGTCTGGCAAGAACAGGCGCCAGGGTCTCTATTTCTTCTAGGACCCGGAGTAGGCTTGCATTTCCTGTTTTCGGCTTGGGGTTCCCTTATCGTCCCCAACAGACAAGAAGGGCACCCTCCTTATTCCCAGGTTACTCCGAGTCTAGTCTTTCTTTTCGAAGGAAGCGCCCACTGAACTGCATTGAATCCTGCTGGGAACGTGTGAAGATTGATGTTCCCTTTCTGCCTCCCACGGCGTTGGAGGTGGGACAGCGATCCGATGATCCTGACTCATGTCTGGCAAAAGGACGATAGCACTCTGGGCCCCCTAAACCCTTACAACCCCAAAACACGAAAGCCCTATGCCATGAACCCCTAGACCTGGGATTCTGGGATTGGGATCTGTTGTGCTTGGGGTAAAACCTCAACCTTAAACTTAGGGCTTAGAGTCTTAGAGTTTAGTGTTTAGGGTTTAGGGGGGCAGCTGAGGAACCAAGAAGCCCACGAGCTTCCGGTAGCCAAGCAGCGGCAGGCGGCAGCCCCGTTCCCCCCTTTTTCCCCCTCTTTGCCCCTGCCAATGATCAAGGATGTTTGGGTTTTAGTCTTTTGGGGTTTTAGGGTCTTAGGGTTTGAGGGTTTTAGGATTTAGGGTTTTAGGGTTTAGGGTTTTCGGATTTAGGGTTATTTTTGTTTAGGGCTTTGGGCTTAGGGCCCTGATGTTTGTTGAGTGAGCCAAAATTTGGGTTGTGGGATGGTTAAGGTTGGGGGGGGGGGGGGCAGAAAAGGCTCTTACCCCAGAATCCTCAACTCGGAGAACGATCCCCAGCTGATTGGAAATCTCTGAACAGGGAGGATCAGGGTTTAGGACCCCTGCCTTTGGGTTTAGGGCTCAGGGTTCCCCAAACAGGAAGCACCCAAGGAACTGAGGTGTATGTAGGGGGTTACATAGGGGAATAAGATTTAGGGTTTAGACCTTAAAACCCTAAACCCTAAACCCTAAACCCTATAGGGCTTTAGGTAAAGCACCCGTGCAACGAAAGCAGGCGCTGGACTTCGTGGAAGATGCGTCGGACGACATGCGCACGAAGCTGGCGCCCATGTGGAGACCCAGCTGAGTCGTTTAGGATTTAGGGTATGGGGTTTTAGATTAGGGTTTCGGGTTTAAGGCCGGAGGTTCCGAATATGGGAAGGTTTCCCGAAAGTAGGGGAGGCCTTACTGGGGTCGTGATGATAGGGTTCCCTACTCTTTGGGGGACCTATATTCGGGGTCCCCAATGCTCGTCAGGCCCCATCTAGGGTACCCCTGATGCGCCCAGCCTGACCGGAACCCAATTGCCCATGGATGCCTGTGAACTGTGGTGGAGGACAGAATCTTGTCACAAGCGCTGCTGTGCTTTGGGGGGTGTAGGGAGTCCCAACAACTCAACTGGTGAGGGCTTGAAGAGTAAGTTGAGGGCAGATGCTGAGGAAGTACTGCTTCGTCCAGTGGCACATCTACGACGCCGGGGTCGAGGCCACGGAGAAGGGCGTGCCGGTGGCGGTGATGCTGCGAGACCCAGAGCCCTGGCTGATTAGGGTTTGGGGTTTAGGGTTTAGGGTTTAGGGTTTAGGGTTTAGGGTTTAGGGTTTAGGGTTTAGGGTTTAGGGGTCTCTGAGCCCCACCTTGAAGTCCTAAAAGCCAAAGGCCTTAGGGTCTTTTAGGGGCTTCAAAGCTGCGGCCCTCAAACGAAATCGGCACGAACACCCTCACATCTTGGGTCTCGAAGCCGAAGCCCCTGAGACCTCCCCGACTCAGGACCTTCGTGCAGATGTGGAGACTCTGCGGGTGCTTTGCGACAGTGGCGACCTGGATAGTGACTCCGAGGAGTTTCAGCGTAAATTTCTGCGATCCTGCTGTGCTGGATTCTCACATAAGAGGGGGTTTATGTCAGAGACCCTGAGCAGTCCGAAGCACTGAACCCCAAAAACCCGAAAACCTTAAAACAAAAAAAAACCATGGAAGAAACAGACCCTCAAAGCTACAAACCCGACGCAAGCCCCTTCGAACGCCTCCAGGTGCATCGACCTCGGAAGAATGGATGTGGAAGCTACTGGACCCCCTCCCTGCGCCTTGGCCCAGTGGCCGAAGAGGCCTGTGCAGGTAGGGTCCTAAGCTCCTTCGTGGCGAGCTCTGCAAGTTATGGGGCCACCCTGCTTGTTTCGGCTGAGTGTGGGGGGATAAAACAGGGGGGCTCTACAGTGCTCTTTAGACATCCGAGGAGCAAGGCACGCTGCCGAGCGATGAAGTGGCAAAGCTGGTTCAGGACTTGAGAGCCCAAACCCCCCTAGGCCCCTAGGCCCCTAGGCCCCTAGGCCCCTTAAACCCCAACGAAGGCGCGCATATCTTGCGCAGTATCAGTATGTAAGGTGTTTATGGGGGGATAGGCTGCCACATGTTGTGTTCCTGGCACAGCGGCGGTAGCCTCAAGCTTGCTCCATGTTGCATTGAACCCCAAACTTCCTCAGAGCTTAAGCCTGCGAGTCGGCGTCTTGGTCGGGGATCTCTTGGCTTTCAGGGTTTAGGGTTTAGGGTTTAGGGTTTAGGGTTTAGGGTTTAGCGTTTAGGGTTTAGAGCTCGGGCCATGGAACACTCGCAAGCCAGAGCAGGAACAAAGCTAACTCGGCTTTACAAGGGGGTTGGGTTTGGGTTAAAGATTTTGGGATTCAGGGCCCCCGCCCCGCGGCGAGAAGTAGAGTCATAAGGGCTCAATTTCAGACCCTTAAATTCTAAGCCTTCCACACCTAAGCTGTCAACCCTCTTGCTTACAAACCTAAAGGCCTGCAAATTCCAAAGCTGCGCTACTCCCAAATCTCCAAATTTTTAAACATGAAATCCAAACTTAAAGCCCCCAAACAACCTCAAGCCCCTAGACCCTACCAAAAAAAGCAGCCCCCGAAGCCTTAAACCCTAATCAGACCCGTTAAACCCTAAAACCCTAATTCCCCTCTAAGCAAGACCCCTACAAACCCCCAAGAGACCTAACACTCCTAAACCCTAAACTCTAAACCCTAAACCCTAAACCCTAAATCCTGAACCCTTTAGAAAACGACAGGACGGCAAAGAGGAGCGTCATCTTGGGGTCGTTGCTTTCAACGAGGAGCGCTACGACAAGGCCGCCCCCCCCCCTACCCCTAAACCCGAAACCCGAAACCCTAAACCCTAAACCCTAAACTGGGGGGGATTTGGGGGTTGCTTCCGATAGTTATGCAGGGGTTCTATGGGGGTTCTAGGGCATTTGGCATTGGGGGTTTAGGAGGTTGGTGTATGGGTGTAGAGGTTCTATGATGGGGTTTCGGGCTTTGGGCTTTGGTGGCTTTAGGAGGTTGGAGGTTTCGGAGCTTGCGGGTTTGGGGTTGTAGGTTCTTCGCGGCATGCTATTTGGAGGGTGTATGATGGGTTTCCTAAACTCCTAAACTCGGGTGCTTAATTATACTTAGGGTACGTACCCAAGGAGGGGGGAACCAGGAGGCAGGACGCTTAGGAGAACTTGCCAGGCAGGGTGTTTGGGGGGCACTGGCAGCTTCAGGACGTTCAAGGGGTTCAGGGATCAGCGCTCCTCCAGGTCCCAGTTCCTAAACCCGAAAAACTCCCTTGGTCTTATAGGGTTTAGCGTGTGTGTTTAGGGTGTTTCCGTGCGCTGCTGAGGCACTCTGGCATTTCTGGCAGGGCCAGAAACTGATAGCCGCCGCCCCAACCGGTGGCCCTGTCGCAAAGCTTCGCGGGGAGCTGCTCAAGAACCGGTCGGCAGCGGTACCTCTGGCCCAGAGGTTTTGTTAAGAATCCCTTGCTCTGAGAGAAGCCAGTATAAATGGCAACATTGTTGAACACTTTTGTGGATTCCGGCCGGGCACAATTTGTCAGTTGTTCAGCGTGCTGGCTTTATTGCATGTTAGGTTTTTGACATTGCTAGACGTTCTTGGTAATGGAAGCCCTTGACTGACTGCCCAAGTCCTACTTGAGTGAGGTGAAACGCCGATGAAATGGAAGCCCTTGACTGACTGCCCAAGTCCTACTTGAGTGAGGTGAAACGCCGATGATGTCTACCGGTTCCAGGTGTGGGTGATTTGAGGCTTTGGGGAAGCGTTCCGAAGCTGAAGAGCTTGCAAAAAAGCTGCCCGTAGACTTCGACATGCACCCGAGGCACTGAAGCTTGGCCTCCCCCGCGGTGCGCTGAGCGCGGCCAACGCAGCGCTGGGCATCAACCAGGGCGACGAGAAGGCGAAGAGGGAGTTGGACAGCGACTGCGGGAGCCAGGGAGAGAAGGGAGACAAGGGAGAGGGAGACAGGGAGAGGAGAGGGGGAAGAGCGAGCGCGGAGAGAGGTGGAGAGCCCTCTCCGAAATATCATTGTGATGCCTCTTCAGTGGAACCCTATCAGGGGAACCCTTGAAGCCTTGTGATGTGCCCCTTCATGTTGAAACCTTGAAACGCTTTTGCCCTTTGGCTTGAAGCCTGAGCCAGGCACAAGACTCACCAGTTTAGGGTTTTGAGGGTTTGGAGGGTTTATAGGGTTTATAGGGCTTATAGGGTTTAAAGGGTTTGCAGGGTTTACAGGATTATTAGGGTGTATAGGGTTTAGGGCTACAAGTAGGGGCCCCCCTGAAACCCTTAAACCCTTCTTTGTCCCCCCCCTTCAAACCCCTCTGGAGCCAAGGCCTGGTTCCGGAAGTCCTGCGCCTTACAGGCCTTGAATCGCCAGGGAGAGGCCAACCAGGCGCATGGTTTAGGGTTTAGGGTATAGGGTTTAGGACCTGGGGTCTAGGGTTTAGGGTTTTAGGGTTTAGGGATTGGGGGGGGGGGGGGGGGGGGGGGGGGGAAGCAAGAACCCTTGCGGGGCGACCTCCAAACAACGAGGGCATCGGTGGGGTTTACTGGGGTGTCGTCGAGCCCCCTGCAGGACCCTAGTTTCGAAGATTACCATACACATAGAATCTGCAATGGTAGAGAGCCATGGCTTTGTCATAGTCAAACCCAATAAGGAATAACAAATTAAATTGCTAATATTATCCCAACCATGAACTAGATTGGGGGTCTGGTATTCAGAGAAAAGGTCTAAAGCCTTCTTTGCCTCTCCCCCCGTCGATGTCAGGCTTTGGCACGAGCAGGGCTCTCACCGCCTCCGGTCTCTTTGCTTCAGCTGTTAATTAGGGTTTAGGGTTTAGGGTTTAGGGTTTAGGGTTTAGGGTTTAGGGTTTAGGGGGTTTAGGGGGATTAGGGGGATTAGGGTTTAGGGTTTAGGGTTCAGGGTGCAGGGTTCAGGGTTCAGGGTTCATAGGGTTTGGTGTTCTGGCGCTTAGGTTCATGATGTTGCTTGGAGGTTTTGGGAATGGAAGCCCAAGCCATGCCAGATTGGACTAGAACCTCCCTTTGCCCTAAACCCTAAACCCTCATCAAAAGTCACGCTTCAGCGCAAGATTCTTTAGATCTCATCAGGCCAGACCCTCAACCCTTACACCCCTAGATGTGCTTTAAAGCCTCCCTCCCGAAACCTGTTTTAAACCCGAAGTTCAAAACCCCAAAGCCCTGAACCCCTCAACCCTTTCAACCCCTATGTCTCTAAGAAGGGTTTATACCCCCTGGTGACGTAAGGTCATCCCCCCCAAAAGCAAAGCTGCCTCAGCTGAGGCCAAGACCGCGGTGAAGAGGACCACGAAGACACCTGCCCTGGCAGACAAGAAGTCGCCAAGCTGTTTTTAGAACCAGGATCGCCGGAATGTCTGGTTGAGGGTTTCTTGGGTTTTTCGAGTCCTGGTTGATGTTTAAGGCTAGCGCCACACAAGCTGTGCATGTGCAGGTATAGACACAAAGCCTCAAAGCACTTCGCTCAAGCAACCAGCTGAGGACGACGAAGGTTAAGGAGCTGGATCCTGCTCTGTCGTGCCCTGGATCAACTACGTCCTTCTCGCTAAAGTCAAAGACCATTTGGCTTCTTGCTAGTCGCAGGGATTATGAGTATTGGAGAGACCAGGACGTGCTTCAGCTACTGGGGATTCCTTGGGTACGTCCAATTCTGTGACCATCATACTGACCGCATGACCAGTTCCCGGAGTGATGGCCGCTGTGGGGGTGTACCGAATGTAAGGGTCCGTATTGTCACATCATAGATACCCCACCCTAAACTCTTAAGGAGGTTTGTGGGGTGTCGGGGTTAAGGGTAAGGGTTGCCAGGCAGCCCCTTGCTACACACAGCTCAGGAGCCAGAGTTGTGCAAGCGGTAAGCGTTTTTTCTAAAATTCCTTGGTTGCCCGTGAGATATTGGGGGTAAGGGGCTTGGGATTCTAGACTTATCGTTGCTTATAAGCGGTTACCACCATTTTCGCGATTCAGGAGTTTTTCCCTACGAAGCCTGGAGGTCCGCAAGCCCCAGTCAACCTATGGGGGGTAAAGTTTGTTAGAGGGTTTAGACGGTCTAGACGGTTTATAATTGGGTTTACGGGGTTTATAGGGTTTATGTGGTTTATAGGGTTGAGAGGGTTGGAGGGTTTAGAGGGTTTAGGGTTGACCCCTAAACCCTAAACCCCTGGCTTCGCGCAGGAGATTGCGCACTCACACGCCCGCAGGCTGTCAAAACTTGCGCAGCAGTCACTTCTCCGTCTCCACCCATCCCCTTATACCACCCCTTATACCCCCCTTATGAGCCCCCTTATCCCCCCTTATACCCTTCTTATACGCAAGGAGCCTCTTTGAGGACCTGGTCTTCATCGAGATCGGTGTGGATTCTGTGCTGGCGGCGCCTAGACGTTTGTGGCAGACCGATCCTAAACCTCCTCAACCTCCTCAACCTCCCAAACCCCCTAAACCCCCTAAACCCCCTAAACCCCCTAAACCCCCTAAACCCTAAACCCAAACCCTAAACCCTGAACACCCCCCAAGCCACATAACGGTCTTCGGCTGTTAGTTCCGCACTCTGTCGCACCCTAAGGGATGCTCACATGGTACTTCTTTACACGATTCTGAAGTATGGGCCCTTGGGTTTTATACCTTTATGTCCTTAACCCTGCATCGCCCAGCCCAAATGGGCCAAGAGCACCAGCGACCTAAACCGGCCCCCCAAGCCATAAAGAACCACAGTGAGTGCGCCTGTGGCTCAGTAGCTCACCTTTATACCCTTTGGGCTTTCTATACTCCTACCATCCTTGGAAGGGTAAGCTGTTTTGGCCCAGGGTACTCAGCAACTAGGATGCTGAGCCCAGGGTTTAGGGTTTAGGGTTTAGGGTTTAGGGTTTAGGGTTTAGGGTTTAGGGTTTAGGGTTTAGGGTTTAGGGTTTAGGGTTTAGGGTTTAGGGTTTCTAAACCTTAAACCCTGGCAGCGCAGGTCGATCTCGTGCGACATCTGCAAGCGGAGCTCCCCGACACCCCTCTCTCGCTGAGCTTGTGGCTTGCCTTTCAAGGGGTCATATAGGGGGTTTAGGGTTTAGGGTTGCAGGGGGTTAGTGTTCTTCTCTTGTTGGGTTTAGGGTTTTAGGGGTTTTGGGGGGATTTAGGGTAATTATTGTCTTGAAAAGGGTTATAGGGATTTTTGGTTTAGGGTCATAGGGTTCGGGGCTTCGGGCTATTTGCGGCTTCAGAGTTTTGGAGTTTTCTGAGTGCTTTATGACGCCCATAATTACTCACTGACCAACCTAACCCCCAACTCTGAATTAGGCTTTTGCGAATTTCGGGTGTAACTGTCCGGGTTCTAAGATTTGTGAATGAGGCTGATTTAGGGTCTTCACAGGGAGTCAGAAGGGCCTCCGAGGATCTATGACTACCCGACCGTGCGGGAGACCATCAACGTGCTGATGGGCAAGATCAACGCAAAGACGCTCCGCTTTTTCAAGGGAACTGCAAGCCGTATCCATTCGTAGTACGCTTATGGCCATGGAGGCCGCCGAAATCTGGGCCCTCACTATCGGAAACCCCAAATATGGACTCCACAAGACTTGTTTATGGGTCCTAAGTCCACGGAGCCTTGTTTTTTGCCTTTGCATTGGGGTCTAACCTTAAAAATTCCATAACAATTCACATAGAAACTTACATAAGCCTGCCAGTCAAGCCTCTGAACCTTAAAGCCCTAAAATCTGCCTTAGGCCGGCACGCTTAACCCGGGTTTTGGGGTGTAGTGAACCCTAAAGCCTAAACCCTAAACTCTAAACCCTACACCCCTATTAAGCCCTTAAAGCATCACAGAATCCCCCCACAAGAGATCGGGATTCTGTTCAGGGCTTAAGGAACTCCTCTTCTGCAGCCAAGGAAGGGCGACTACCTCCGCCGACGCATGGCCAGCACCGTGTGGAGGGCCCTGTGCGATGCCCTGGGCAAGGACACCAGCGATGCCCAGTCCTTTTAGCGTTTAGGGTTTAGAGTTTGGGGCTGGTGGGTCTGCAGGGCTTTGATGAGTTCAGGTGCCTATATGGGGCTATCTGGCTGATGTCATGTATATTTGTGTATTGACCCCCTAGCTGTATCTTTTTCATGGAGGGCGCTTTGGGCTTCAAGTAGGTCGAAAGTGCGCCACTCCATAGCCGCAGAAGAATCCCTCAAGCGTGTGGCACAACTTCCTCCGGAGCTCTGTAACCCCTAGGCTTGAAAGCCCTCCGCCTCCAGCCCGAGACATTCTAGACATCCTGGACATCCTAGACAAAACCCTTGAATCCTCCGTAATTCTGCTATCAGAGAGGATCCGCTGAAGCAGCAGCGGCTAAAGCGGTCTCGTCAGCTCTACACGGAGATCCAGGTGACCCAAGCCCGAAACCCTAAAGTCCTAGACGCTGAACACATCAAACCCATAGCCCTAAGCTCCTACACCCTAAACCCAAAACGCCTTAAACCCTAAAACTCCTGAACTTGCAGCGTTGAGGAGTGCAGGCTTGCTGTCCAAACAAGGCCTACCCCTAACCCCCTGGCCCGAAGGTGTTTTTGAGGGGGTCTAATTCTATGTGTTAGGGTTTTGGGTTTAGGGTTCAGGGTTCAGGGTGTAGTACTGCAATCTCGGAAGGCAAGAGTGAGGCTGCGGCGGCTTCAGTTTCCCCAAAGAGCACTTTCAGGGTTTAGGCGTTTTAGGGTTTAGGGTTCTCAGGGTTTTGGCGGTTTAGGGTTTAGGGGCAGAACCTTCACCTCGACCCAAACCCTGCGCCAGAGAAGTTCCAATCTCAGAAGCGATCTGAAACCCTTTAAACCCTAAACCTCCCCGGAGCCCAAGATTAAAGGCGATGGACATCCTGAGCGACCTGCAAAAGGCCTACGAGTCACCAGGCCCCTCTTGGCCTGGTTTCAGCAGATCTTTGTTGCCGTGTTTTTTGGGGCTTGAAGGGGTTTAAGGTTTGAGGGATTTTGGGGGGTGGAGGGTTTAGGTTTAGGGATTTGGGGTTTAGGGGTTTAGGTTTAGGGTTTGAGTCGGTTCTTGGGTTTGGCTTGGCTCTGTGACGCGTGCGTCCCAGGGGGGTGGGGTTGCAACATCGACAGTATAGGGAGAAACGCGAAACCCTAAACCAGGCAGTAGCACAGCAATCAGAGCAGTTTGAACCCAGGAGCCCCATCAACTGTCTCAAGCCGTCACTATAAGTCAGAACCCCTATACATAATTCAAAATAGATCCCTTGACACGAAAGGTACATGTTTATCTGTGTATATATGTATATACATACACACACACAAATTCCGCACATCAACACATGAATAAAGTCGACAAAACATATATGTATATTTATACATATATACATATGTACTTACCTATATATATATACACACAAAACATTGATCATAACATAAATATACCTTGCAAACCGTTCACAGCGACAGGCCCGAGCTTGCCTGGCAAACGTGGGAGTTTTTTCAAAGCGCCGCCATGGCTTTGTCCGTGACGAACGACTTGCAAGCCCCTCTCGAAGTTAAGCTTCAGGGTGGGGAATGGAAGGTCGTTTACCCTCAGAAGTCCTTCGATGTCGGAGTGTCGGGAGAGACATCGGTCTGCTTGGTGGAAGTTCGGTTGCGAGAAAGCCCCGAGTTGAGGGGCAGCTGCCAGGCTGCCAATGGCTCCTCTGAATTACGGGCCTCGGTGGACTTCGAAGCTTTTAGCCGACAAGCGCGGGGCCGGGATCGGGCTGAGGCCCGGGAGCTGGCTCGTGAAGGAAAGCGACGGGAGGAAGCCCGGATGCGGACGGAAGCGATGGTCCAGGAGGCCGCCGCCAAGAAACGGAACGAACTTGCATTTGTATTTGCTATATGTTGGGCGATTGTGATGGGGCTCCCATTAGTCCTCCTCGTTGTTTGCTCTGCCATCCCACCCGAGAGCCCCGTTGCAGCCGCACTGCTGGCCAGTGCCACGATTCCTCTGTGCTGCTTTATCGGCGTTTTCTCGGTGCTCGGAAGTGCAGATAGTCAATCGCAGTTCCTTCTTGGAAAGTACCGCCTCGTCTTCTGCGTTGGTTTCCGGCTAGCGGGCCTCCTCGCGTTGTTGTCGCTCGCAGCCATGACGGCCCAGCACATCCTGGAAGGGTACTGGTGGACCGCTCTTATCGTTTGGCCCGTGGCCGTTTTCGGCGGCGTGTGGTTCTGTTGCTTTAAGTCAAAAGACCTAGACGGTGATAAGAAGGACATCCTGCGGAGAGAGCGCGAAGAAGCCCAAGGCGAAGTCAGTAATCGAACCATCCGCTTCGAAGGCAGCGTCCTCCGCGAACGCGGGCGGCCCTGCGTGGCCAGCTGGCCTGGGAAGTACGAAGGAGCGTGGGAGGCCCTCGTGTCGCAAGGCCGGAAAGGCGAGGTGAGCGCAGCGGTGGTCTTCCTCCCCCAGGGCACGGATGACTACGGCAAGCACGACAGCATCCCGCTGGCTGAAGGCTTGCCCGGCACCTGCTGGTGCACGCCCCTCTACGGTGAGCAGAGGCCTTGGGGTTGTAGGTGGTTTACTAAGTGGAGGGAGAACATCGAAACGGCGGTGGAATCCGGAGCAGAGCTGGAAGTCTACTACTTCCAGGGCCATGTGGGTAAAGGCAAGGTGGAGAACTTCGGATCGGCAGGAAAGACAACCTGCAGAGGGAGAAGGCGAACAAGAAGCAAAAAAAGACTTCGAGGAGTCTCCCGAGTTCAAGCAGGCGCTGGACGCAGGTCTCGGCAACCTCTCCAACAAGCCTCGTGGCGACGGATCCTCCCAGTACAGCCGTGAAGTCCGGCGCCTGTTCCTCGCCTCCCTCTCGCAGGCAGAGCGCGAGTTTCTAGCCACCGCAGAGGGCCTCGGCAACTCCCAGAAAGCGGAGGTCGCCTGGCTGGAAAAGAAGGGCTATGCCTACTGGGAGGTGGACGTCTCAACGTGGCTCCCGGGAGAGGGAGTTGAGAGATACGTCCCGGCCTCTGCCGAACGGCAACCCCACGTGCCCGGCCGGAAGGACGACACTTCACCAATCTCAATCTCGATCGTCAAAGAATTGTAGTTAGAGAGTATGTTCTCGAAGAGACTATAGCATTGCAATCGTGAAGCATGCAGCACTCAGGTCATTGCAATCTGCAAGCCGTAGGTTGCCGAAGTACTTAGTGGCACAGAATCATGTTGTTGCGGCTTCGCGACACTGGTCTTGGCTGATGTCTGAATTTAAGACAGTGGCCAAGTGGAGTTTTTGCAAACCAGCGGATTCAGATCCAAACACGGCACGATCAGCGAAGCAAGACGTTGTGCCGATGGCCTTGTGAGCTAACCTGTCCGAGATTCCTCACATGTCATGTCCTCCGAACCACTGTATGAGTACATCAGAGTCTTATATCCCAGCTCTATGGTCTAAGTTGATTTGGCAAACTTCTGCAATGGACATGTCTGCACGAATCTCATCCTTCCTCGTTGGATTCTGTTTTGGAAGGTTTCTTGCGCCTGAAGGGACAAGGTTTCCTTCATTCCGTCTCAACTAGCCCTCCTCGCCTGAACCACTGCAGAGTTCTCAAAGAAACTTGCATTGCGAGCGTTGAAGCTGCGAAAGCTCCGACCGTGGAGCATGCCGAAGGGCCATGCACCACGGATCGTCTTGGGTCCTTCCGCAGGCACTTTCCGTTATAAGAGACTCCCGTATCTTACTTGTGAGCATGGGGCTCAAGCAGGACTAATTGTAAGTTCTATGTTGTCTTCGTTGCTGCGAGTGTGGTGTGCGCCGAAGGGAGGGTTTGAGGGGTTTAAGGGTTTTGGGTTTGAGGGCTTAAGGGTTCAGAAAAGTCAAGGTCGAGTCAGTCCATGCTTCCGCAGTTCAGTTCCCAAAACCCGACCTTCCACAACCCCCTTTTCGTTTTTTTGTCAAGGCAGAACTGGTGTTCCTGTCTCTGGAAGTTGTTTCGTGTAGTTGGAGTTCATGGCTCTCAGGGTTTGTCGCTTGAGCCTTTTCAGACTCCTTGCCTGTTTGCCGGGAATATCTGGGGTCTTAGGCTCTACAGGTGCTACTTGAAGATAGTTCGGGGCTTGGATGGTTTGGGTCTGGCCCTCTTGAGGTGGAGTTGCAAAACCCTTCGTCACAAAAGCGCAGGCTTCGTCAAAGCCGCCTCGGAGATCGCCAAGCAGTCGGCCTACGACCAGCGGTCCTTCCTCATGAACCTGAGGCCTTCTGGGCTGGGCCCCGGAAGCGTTGTCACCTTACAGGGTCCTGAAGGGAGGGGTTCCCCCTCCCCACTGCTCCTTAAGGTTGCTTAAGGTTCTCCAGGTACCTACCTCCCAGGAACCCCCCCCCCCCCCCCACCTTCACCTAAGCACCCTATACAGCCTATACTATACGTTTTAGGGCTCAGGCTGGATCCAAACCTCAAGCGCCGAAATGCTCTACAATCCCTGCGACCAGCCCCAACCCCACAGAAGCCCAAGCCCACAGAAGCCCTGAACCCTCAACCAGAAAGGGTTTAGGGTTTAGGGTTTAGGGTTTAGGGTTTAGGGTTTAGGGTTTAGGGTTTAGGGTTTAGGGTTTAGGGTTTAGGGTTTTGAAAACATAAACATGAAACTCCACATCGGGCTTCTCGGGCTCCAGGGTTTTCAGCCACGCAACGACTGTCAGCCGCGCCGGTTTGAGGGTACTTATGTTTTTTTGGGGGTTTTGGGGTTTAGGGTTGGGGGGTTTAGGGTTTAGGGTTTAGGGTTGAGGGTTTAGGGTTTAGGGTTGGCGGCTGAAGAAATGCGGCCCGAAAGCTGCAGAATCCCCGGAAGAGGTCGAAGGCGATGGAAGTGCAGCGGCCCATCCTCAGGCAAGGAGGGTTTAGGGTTTAGGGTTTAGGGTTTAGGGTTTAGGGTTTATAGTGTTAAGTGTTTATAGTGTTTAGTGTTTATAGTGTTTAGTGTTTATGGTTGGGGAAGGAACGTCTAGTTAGGGTTTATAAGGTTTAGTAGTGTTGAGTGTTTATGGTTAGGGAAGGGAATCGTTCTGGCGTTTCGGTTTTACGGCATGGGATGATGGACTTCAACAGGGGCCGGTATCTTCAAGTCTACAAGTCCCGCTCTGAAGATTTAGGGAACCCCGCAACCCCCAAAACCTGAACCGCCCCAATAAACCCCTAACTCCACAGCTTAACCCTATAAACCCTACAAACCCTGTAAACCCTCTAACTCTAAACCCTCTAAACCCTTTAAACCCTAAACCCACTCCCCTGCGATGCATTAACGTTGATTAGTAACTCTCGACCGAAGGTTGTATCCTTGTGTGCATGCTTGAGTTGACTTAAGGCTTGCCCCACAGCATCCAAATTACCCTCCATACAAAGAGACCAAAATGGTGGGGGGGAAAGGTACAGGCTACCGCATCCGTCTGTGTGGGGGTGTGTGTGTGTGTCCGAGACATACACACATGGGAACGGGGTGTGATCATAACCTGAGTCCTAACATCACCTCTCTACACGCACTCATGGTGACCCATGGTATAATGGTACTTCGAGGCTAAGCAAGCTCAAGAGCGGTGCATCATATCGAACACATGCTGAGGAGGTTTGCTTGGTCTTATTTGTTTTCGGTGCGAAGTGTCAGGGGGTTTTTCGGGTTGTTGATAAGGCGTCGCGGCGAAGACTTTAACCTTATGAACCCGATACCCAACTCCAGGCCCTCACGGCCCGAGACTCTTAGGGTCTCAGGAAGGGCTTAGGAGGCTTATCGGAGATGAACGTGGGCTGCCGCGTCTCCCTCCACGGGCTGCAGAGGGCCGACGTGAAGGGGAAAGCTGCAGTGGTCGTGAGTGTGCGGAGTGACCGCTTTGGGGCTCTGCGACACTGAGCAGCGCATCGCTGTGTTTTGCCGGGCAATCTGGAAGCTTGAGGGAGCCAGAGTCGGAGGACTGGGAGCGCTGAGCTGAATGGGTGGGCACGATCATTGCGGCACCGGGAGCTGGCCAGGATCGCTGGGGCGTGAAACTGGGATCTCGGAAGGTTGCTGTGAGAGAAAAGAACTTGACAAACCCCAAACCCTAAACCCTAAACCCTAAACCCTAAACCCCAAACCCTAAACCCTAAACCCTAAACCCCCAAGCCCTACTCCCCTCCCAAACAAAAAGAGGCGCCTGGGCCTGGCAACGGACGCGCAGGGCCTCAGAGACCTGGAAGCCGCCACTGGGACAGGTGTCCTAAGGGTTTGGTTTAGGGCTCTATACCTAAACCCTAAACCCTAAACCCTAAACCCTAAACCCTAAACCCTAAACCCTAAGGGTTTGGTTTAGGGCTCTGCAGGGTTTGGATTAGGGCTCGATATGGGGCTTTTCGGGTTTTGAGGTCTTTGGGGTCTTTAGGGTTTTTTGAGGGTTTGAAGGTTTTTTGGGGTTAGGGTGAAGTATGCTTCACCTCCTGTCTTTGGAAGGCGCCTCTCCAGAAAATTGATACCAAGTTCAAAGGCACAGCTCCGTTCGTGTATTGGACCTATAGGCAGGCTTCTGTGCTCCCATGTAGGGGGCTTTATAGATGTTGAGGGTCTATGGCTGGCGGGTGCAGGGTTTTTTGGGGGTGTTGGGCTGCTTCAACACACAACCCTTCAACCCTCGGCCCGACTTTTGCTGTAGAGCCCTTCTACACCCCTCGCTAGAACCCTAAGCCCCTAAGCCCTAAACCCTAAACCCTAAACCGAGCACCGCAGAACCCTCCCGCCTTTTCCTCCAACTGCCCAGCCGAGGCCTTAGTCAACACGGCGCGGCAGGCCTGAGTCAACTCAGCGGGGAGAGGGATTAAGGTTTAGGGGTAAACCCTAAACCCCAAACCCGAAACCCTTTAACCCTTCAAGCCCTAAACCCTACACACCCTAAACCCTAAACCCTTCAACTCGCAAGGCGCCGTCAGTGCAGGAGAAGTTGCGGATGGTCCGGATGGCCCAGCAACTACGGCCCAATTGGAGCAGATGTTGTCTGACCCCAGTTGCCCCTAAACCCAAAACCCTAAACCCTAAACCCTAAACCCCAAACCCCAAACCCCAAACCCCAAACCCCAAGCTTAAGCCCTATAAAACCCTGCAGTTTCCCACAGCGTTTTGGGCTGGGGGGTGGGGGCCTTGAAGAGCCGAAGAGGGTGCCAAAACCCCGCCCCCCCCCCCCCCCCCCCGCCTGGGGTTTAGGGTTTAGGGTTTAGGGTTTCGGGTGGATGAAAAACAAGGACTGTCATCGGGGTTGAAGTTTAAGTGGGGTCTTAACTAGAGACCCTTTGTTTTTCTCAACCCCCCCCCCCCCCCCCACACTTCACCCCACTCTCCCCGCTGCCCCGCCCAACAGCCTTGAAGCAAAGGCAGGGTGGGGAGAATGGAATGTGGACCATCAACGTGGAGCAGCACCTGGGGCTTGGGTTTAAAGGGCTGACTGGGCTTTGTAGGTTTTGCACTGGAGGCTTAGAGGGTTTATAGTCTACGGGGTGTTTAGGATCAAAGAGGCCTATAGGGTTCGCAAGGTTTATACGGCTGAAAGGGTTTAAAGGGCTTTAAGGCGTTCGCAGAGTTCTGCGGTGTAGCTGCTAAGAAGCCAGGTGGGCAATTCTTGTGTTCAATGTTTCGTTGAGAGGGGGCCTTACATTCCCTTAGAGGGCGGGTGGCTCTCTTGGCTTCGAGGGTCGTTTTTTCCGCGACCCTCAAGCCGCCTCAGACAAGGCTCCTGTGGTCTCCACCCACGTGAGAACCATGAACGCCACGAACCCTGTCAACCCTTTCAAAACACCCCATAGAACTTAGATACCTTTTGAAACCCTAAACCCGATTAAACCTTTCTAGGCCCCCTTTAAGCCTTCCGACCCCTTAGGAACCCCTGGTGGTCCGACAGCAACTCCATGCAACTGCGTGCTGCACCGGGCCCAGATTCCCATGCTGGGGTTTTTGTAGGGCCTAATAGACTTAGAGGGGGTGTATTGTTGGGGGAGGGGCTTTAAGGGTAAGGAACCGGCCCGAACTTTGGGTCATATCCTTGGGCCACTTGGGACGCTTAAGCCACTTGGGTTCTTGAGGGTAGCCCTAGAGAAGAGGATGCCCAGGTCCTTCCTGAGAAGTGGGACCTTAAGCCTGGAAGCTCGCCCGCGGTTCGGCCTAGATGCGACCTTGAACTTCTGTTGAGAACCCAAAGGTGAACCTCTTGCTTTGTGTTTTTTTTGGGGCAGTCCTTGCCAGGCTCCTGGAGCTTCCCTAGTATATGATTTATGTATAGGGTCTCCATCGGAAATCTTGTGTGTTGTAGACGCTTTGTGAAGGAGGGTATCTCTCATTCAGTGCCCCGGTTTAAAAGGGGAATACCCATTTTCTTGATCTTCAGGTCTTCACCAAGTCCGATCCATTTGGCGCAGCTCACATCAACACCAACGCCGTGCCTGTCAAGTGACAGCACTGGAGCTGAGCGCTTGGGCCGTAGTTTGGTTCAGCATGCTGCCTAGGATCGGCGTAGAATCCCAGTGGTGCCATGTGTGGTCGTCATATACCTCCCATGAGAACGGACCCGCCCTATGTAGGACCTCAATTCCAAACATGCGCGGAGAGTCATGCAGCTAGCCACTATCATTGTAGCCTAATCGTGGTGCAGTTAAGCCTTTTCTTTGCCTTCCTTTCACATAGAGGCTGCCATAAACTGGCCAACTTCCGCTCAGTCGCCTTTCGAAGGAGAAAAAGTGTGTCGACTTGCAGGCCTGAGGGCTATATATATATGCCACACCCCGAAACCCGCAACGGGCAGAGCAAGAGAGCTTAACAAGCTCCGAGCTGCCATATGCGTCCCCAGGCGATCCTTTTGTGCACTTTGCGTGGCGCCGTGGCGCTGTGCGGCTTGACGCGCATGGCATGGTGACAGAAAAGTAGGACGACCTTCCGTTCACGATACCACAGAAGTCTTGAAGTCCGACAAACCATGGATCGCCTCAACCAGCGCGACAGAGAACACGAGGCAGTGGCCGATTCTGGACTCAGACGTTGGAAGTGTATGGGATTGCGACGCACGCAACATCGCAGACTGTCGTCAAACGTTGAAACACCGCTACGCCCCGTTCCGCACCCTGGCCCCGGCCAGCGTATCGACGTGTCGGCATGTCACAATGTGGTGTGCCCGTAGCATGCCGGCCCTTTCGTCAACACCGCCGCAAGCCTTTCAGAGTCTCATCCATTTCGGCTCTGACGTTGGGTTAAAAGATTGCGGCCCTGTCATCTTCGCAACGTCACATGATGCTTCGACAACACTTCCCCAACCAGCGGACGTAATCGGGCCCATCTGATTGATAGCTGCGTCAGCAGCTGCGTGAGACGTTTGCTCATTGAGTATCGCCGCGGGGCTGGGCAACGCAACAAAGAATCTAGCAAGATCTCCTTGCATATTGCATGTCCACGTGCACGTCTAGATGCCAAACTCGTGTATCGCAACAGCTTGCAGGCAGTTTTTGCAAGCATTCCATACGGTCTTTGCGCGGGCATGCTGGAGTGGTTTGCATTTATAATCGCAAGCTGCACAGGGCCAAACACGCGAGACTGTGAGGATGAGGTAGCATTGGCAATCGCCACGAGGTCGTTTGAAACAGGCGGGCATTGCTGGACAAGCACCCGCAATCGGCATTTCGAATCGCAGAGATGGGTAACATCTGCATGCGGCCGAAATTTGGGAGCGTGGAGGGGGCGGGGGAGGTTGAAACAAATTGGGTGTCGGACTAGTTTATCAAAGGCCGGTGCCATCTGACTTGAGCCTGCCTGTACGACTGTATGTTGGGATGTTCCCCCGAGTCGGATGATTCCTTGCAGTTCTTGGGCCGTCCGAGTCAGAATATTGCGGGACGTAAGAACTGCGGCCACCCACCAAGCGAAATTTTGCGTGAAGCTTGATTGCGGCGGCACATCTCCCTCTGCAGGACGACATGCCAAGGCACGGCGTACATGGTTTAGGGTATGTTTAGGGTTGTGTGATTTCACCAGCTTCTGGCAAGCGCAGCAGTTCAATGACAAGCGCACTCTGGTTGACATCCAGGCCCGTGTTGCCTCGCACATCTACTCGATACATCATGTTGCATGGCTTCATGGGCACACGTTACGACGTTACGACGAACGGGGGGCGGGTACGCGCTTAAACGTGCCCATGTTGGCCCGAACAATTTCCAATCCAAAACAAGAGGCCATTCTTCGCTGGGCACACAGGTTGACCCCGAATTCCGTCGCTGTGGGCAAGGCCGCCTCGTCCTCCATGTCTTTCTGGGCATTGAGACGGACGGTAGGAGAGGCGTTGAGTTGACTCGCGATGCCGAGCCTGCTCCGCTCCCGCGTCGCGCCCACGGAGGGTGGTAAATCTCTGCTTGTGTCCTCCGTTGGTCGGCGCTGTTTCTTCTTTGCCGCGGCGCGTGCTTTCACCGCCAGCTTGCTCTCTGTCGCTCTGAGAATGAATGCGCCCATACCCAACAAAAAAATCGCTGGCATTTCTTCAGCTTGCGAGAGCTGCGGGTTTTGTTGAACCACCCTGGAGCCTTCATGACCCAAAAGCCGTACGTTTTGCCGGACTTCGTGGGGCTGTTTCTTGACCATTCGTACTGTTTAGCATGAGCCACGCCCGTGTCAGAAGGGCAAATCAAACCAAACTGTTCAAGTCCGAGAAGACGGTCGTAACGTGTTTGAAGCAGAAGTTCGACAGTTGGGAGCGGCATAGGGAGTATAGGGGTTGGATGCACACAGGCGTGATCTGAATGCAGACGCAAAGTGCCGATGCTGGTATAATGTCGTGTCGGTATGAACATGTCCAACAAGTGAGCGGTTACCCCAACCAAGAAGCCAGACCGTGTCAGCCACGGTTCCTGCATCAATCAGGCTGAGGACGCCCGAGCGAGGGAACGCCGCAATATGGTCGCCCAGGGCATCATGAGCAACCCGACAGCGGCACTGTGCGCACCTGTGACTGGGAGTGGCAGCCTGAGGCGACGGAGAAGACAATAGAAGGGAATCGAGCGTCAACTCCGAGTGGGCCGCGTCATTCCACATATTGTTGTTCATAGCTGCTGTTTCCCAGTTGGCCCAGCGTCGGAAGCGAGCGAAGTTGTCCAGGCAAGTCCTCCACATGCTGCAGCGTCTACCAGGGTCAGGCCGCCCAACCGGCTGCCACTTCAAAGCACGTCTAACCCATCTTGCATCAGGCAAGTTGGCGATGTGTCTCGCAAAATTCCGCCGCACTCATTCCGATCCTGCACTGCCAACTGCGTCCGACGCCATTCCTAACATCAAGGGTTTGGGGCTGGGTTCCTTCGGCTTATGTTTTGCCCGGTTATGAGCTTCACGGTCAGGGGTTCCCTCCGGAGAGCCCCGCTTTGCTGCTCCAGGCGTGTCCTCATCTTTGAATGTCAAGTAACCCTTTTCAAAGTCGGTGCTCAAATCCGACCAAGATGCCCCCAAAGAAGTCGCTTGCCCGACTGAGCCAGCCGATTTGTATTTATCATACCGTTCCCACGATTTGGTCCCTGGCTTCTTTGGGTTGTCCTGCTTGAAGCCGACCGACGTCTCGGGGTTTTTCAAGCGCATTGTTTGCTCTTCTGAACGCGGCATGGCGCGATGGCGTGAGCTACCCCCAACAAAAACAAAAACGGAAGCCCAATTTGTCTTGAGCTTGAGCTTGAGCCGAGGACATGCTGCAATGTTGTCTCAGAGGGTCATAGCGGTAAGGGGCAGTGGCAGGCGGAGTCGACGCAGCAGTAGCGCACGGGAGGGTACCGCGTAAGTACCACGGCATCGGCACGCCGCACGCGACTCGTGCGCGTTTGAGATGCATTTCGCCACCCTACCTTCCGCGGCCTGAGCGCTGCTGCTGTCTAAGGCTGGGCCACACGCTGCCTGCTGCTTGATAAAGTCCGCCCTACTTACAAAACAGTCACCATCTCCGCAAAGTTCCGGGTGCTTCTCCTCCGCCGCTAGCGCTTAGCGCTCCCAAAAAAATTTTTTCCCAACGTTGTGCCTGCCATGATCTGCTTGACCTGGCCTGTGCGATGGACCTCCGGTGCCCTTGCCTCCCGCTCTCCCGCTTGAGCGCAGGAGGCCGGCGCTCGGGTCGCCCGCAACGTGCGCCTTTGCAGACGTGAACCTCGCGGTCTCAGAACGCGGGCGGGTCAACAACCCGTCCTCGCCGACGGACGCTGCTGACTCCTGCCCGCCCCTACCCCCCCCCCCGCCAATCACCGACGCTGACGTTTTTCGGCTGGCGGAGAAACTCGGGCAATAGGATTGAAGGTACATGGATCCGGATCTCGATTCTGTGACGGCTTTGGTAACGCCCATGAGGTTGTCCAAACCGAAGGCCGGGAGTAACACTACCCCATTTTGCGCGTTCATTTCTCCTTCGCAATTGCTTGATCAAATCTTGCACTTCCGGGGAGCCCCACTTGAGCGCACGGCTGCGGGATCTGCTGGGAAGCAGGCGCGACAATCACTCTCAAAACCTTGGTGCGGCCTGCAGCTTGCGGGCGACACCACACTCGTGTTGGCCCTTAATTACTGCCCCGGGTGCAGAAACAGCCGCGTTGCTTGCTCAAGGGCCAGGCCAGGTTGACTGTCCGAACCAGGCCGCGGCTCGCCGGAACAATGCTGACGCAGGTGGTATCGACAGCAAGCCGTTGCAAACGATGTTTATCCGAATCGGCAGTCTTTCGGGAGATCCATGCTGCCCGGGCCGCAGGAGATTTCCAACGGATCTTCAAGGATAAGGATGAGCGAGAAGCATGTGCACATGCAAACGTTGTTTACTTCAGGAATCGAAGTGAGCCACCGTCTGCTCGCACGGGGTCGAGGCCTCGAACGGCGGCTGCAGCGAACGCAGCATGTCCTGAGCGCGTTGTAAAAAGCCAGCTTGAAGGGTCTGCTCAAGTGCTGGAGGCAATGATGGTGTTTTCGCCGATGACCTGGCTGTGAAACTGCCAGCAACCTTGGACCAGCAAACCAACAGCGTTTGGCGCAGTTGGGATTCCTATGCCGACTCACCCTTCCTGAAATTCACATTCCTGCGACGAAACAGGGTTGCTGTTCAGGGAACCAGAATTGTGATGGTGAACAAGACAGGGATAAGGATGTACAGGGTTTAGCTTCGCAACATGGCATCTCCTTGTGCGTTGGGTCTACGAGGTCCCCAACGATACACTTGTCGATTTGTGCGTATCGTCCCTGCGCACGGCCCCTGCTAATCATGCCTTGCATGGGACGGTGTGAGCTGTGGTGCTGAACCTGATGCGCCGCGTGTACACGTTCTGCGTCATGCAAACGACATTGTGATGGTGTGAGAGCCCAGGACATCGTCGGAGCAAACAAGAAGCAGCTCGGCGCCCGAGGTACGCATCTTCTCACATAAGGGTCAAGGGTCAAGCCTGATGCCCGAAGGCGGCCCATTTAAGGCGCAGGCAGTGAAACAATCAAATGCGACGACTAATTGCGCGGCTCATTGCTTTGTAACGAAATGAATGAAATCATCTGTTTGTCGTAACCACCATTTTGAATCAACAGCTGCGGACTTCCAATTTCCCAATTGACGCCAACGACAATACATCATGAGTGCATCTTCCCAATTGCTAGGCTGCCTCCCAGCCTGAACACGTCGGGGGTGCCATTCCAACACACGAATCACCAATCGATCACGTGGCAAATTTGCAATGTAAGTGGCCAATTTCCAGTAACTTGCCAATGACTGTTCCCTCCAGTTTGTTAACGAGCTATCATGGCAGGCATTCCGAACTTTGTTGTTCCAAGCATGAAGAGTTTCATGCCACGGGTCATCCCATGAAATGTTTCCAGGTGGTCCCACCACTGCACGAAGCAACCTCTTGTACTCAACATCCATCCGGTGCAGGTCGGGTTTGTGAATCGTTCTGTGTCCCGCTGCGAAACAAGCCACTGGCGAAACAACGGCATCAAAGAATTTCAATCGTTTAGACAAGGAAACGTTGCGATCACGTAAAATCCAGCCGTTTGCATAGAAGGATTTTGAAGCTGCAGCAACGTGGTGGGTGACATCTTCATGTTGTTGCGGGGATCCGCCCGCTGACAACATGCACCCAAGCCATCTGTGAGAAGCACTGCGTGGCAGAACCTGGATTTGATGACCGCTGCTTAAAACAATATGCTGAGGTGGCTGGGCTTCCGTTGTCATGATCACCGTCTTTTCGGCGTTCAAAATGAGGCCAACCTCACCAAGTGCTGCAATGAGTAGATCCAGGGTGTAGTGCGCTTTTTCTTTAGATTTAGTGAAAAGAAGGATATCATCAGCAAATCGCAGGTCCAGAAGTCGTCGCAACCCATCTCCCAAATCAAAACCGGCCGTCCCAACCAAGTTCTTCCATGAGCTCATTTTCTCACATCAGGTAGAACATGTTCACCAAATGAAACCGACACGGTTCGGTCCAAGCGTGAGCTGCTCGCGATTGAAACCCGCATGCGGCGCAAAGCTTCGGAGTGCGCACCAGGGGGAGTGGTCTCGGGGCCGATCGCTCGAATATATTTTTTTTTCCCCCAATATATATTTATATTCATATTCAAATTTATATTGATTTTTATATTTATATTTATATTTATATTTATATTTACATTTATATTTATATTTACATTTATATTTACATTTATATTTTATATTTACCTATTTTGTTTACACATCGTTTTGACGGGGGGCCGTGGAAGGGCGTCGGGTCCCAATAGGGGCTCGTGTGTTTTGCCATCTGGCAACTTCATCCAAAGTCCTTCATTCATCTAGTTCGGCCTGGGCACGGGGGGGGCTCCACTGTAACTAGGTAAAAAAATGTCCTCAACTCAATGCCGTAATTCATAAAAGGGTTGTTTTGTCAAAAACGGGTGAGCTTGGCCGGTAAGGCCCTGGGCCACCCACCGGCAAGCGGCGCCGGGAGACCAAAAACGCGCTTGAGGTCTTCTTGGTGTTGGTTAGCGATATTTTTTATTTTTTCAGGGTGCGGCTCTGGTAAGTCTGCCCCAAAATCACCAAAGACAGCCGGATTAAGGCAGAATAGTGGCTGGGACAAGCACGGGGGCAGGAGGCTCCAATCACTTGTCCCACTTGCCCAACTTGCTTCCCCACTACCCCACGTCCCTCCCACTTCCCCCACCTCCAGGATGCGCGAGAGGGGGATGGGAGGGTGAACATCTGCATGGCACGAATGAAGCAAATATTTCTACTTGCTGCGGGCTTATCTCGCATCAATATAGGAATTACACATCCGGACGCAGCAATCCCCAAGTAGACGCTGGAATAAGCAAACAACCAACATGGGTAAAAATCCCGGATTTACTGCGGACGCGAGCTGTTGGATGGTTGAAAATCAACTAGCTGAGGAATCCCAAGTTCGATTTGCCGGCGGGTTTGCTCAAGTCAGCAACGACACGCAGGAACGGCCCTGCGCCGTCCGGCGCAGTGGCGACGTAGGGGTCGTCCACAAAAGTAGCGAGGCACTCCTCAGGCCGCAGGGAAATTATGTGTTTTTTCACACACACCTCGGTGTGGGGTTGAGATTTTAAACTCAACGCTTCTCCTCGCTCGATCTCCTCCTCGCTCATCCCTGAAGCGCCCAACCCCAAAGTGTCCCCACTTTCCTGAGTGGGTCCAGAGTCCCCTGGAGTGCCCAATCAACCCCAAAGCGCCCCAGCTTAGGCCCCAGCTGGAGTGCCTCTGGACCCCAAAGTCTGCCTGGAGTGCCCAACCCCAGAGTTTCGCTGGGCCCAACCCCAGGGTCTCCCTGGAGTGCCCAACCCCAAAGTCTCCCTCAGAGCGTCTCCGGAGTGCCCAGGCCCAGAGTTTTCCTGCAGTGCCCAGCCCCGGAGCCCCCCCCGAGTGCCGATCCCCAGTGCCCACTCCCTGGAGTGCCCAACCCCAGAGCATCTCTACCAAGAGAAGGTGGGGATGTTCGAGCGCACCTTTGCCTGGCGAGCCAAGCGCAACGCAGCACCAGCGGTGCAGCCGCGCGTGCGACGGGGGCACCGGCGGCCGTGAGTGGGGAGACAAGGGTGGTGTCGACAGCCAACTGAACACACCCCCAGAGCGGGAATGTTAACGTCGCTTTAATACACCACCCCCCGCCCCAATCTTGTTTTGGTCCCCGGGGGTTAGGGGGGGTAAAAAAGAAGGGGGTGTCAATAATTGTAATCTGGGGGTCTTGGTCCGGGGGGGGGGTCAGCTGTCAGGGTCTCGCAGCTCTGGAGCTGCAGCAATCTGCTTCTTTAAAGGCTGAGCCTCGGAGCTCTTTCAAGCCAGCTCAGCTGAAAAGTCTTCTCTGCAATGGAACGCTTAAGCAATTTCCAATAAAATCTTGCATTCCTGGCCAGAAAAATATGTCAGTTGTCACCTCATTATTATTCACACCGGACCCCCCTATATAGACTTGTTTATAGATTTCGGCCCGGAAACCTCCCGTGATGGAGAGTAGTCTTCGGCTGGGGCCCGCTGGCCCGGCGAACATTGCGATTACCAATGAAAAATTTACCACCCAATTATGGCGCCCAGCCAGTGACAACCTTCAGGTCGCGCACACCATTGGTTGCGACCGTGGCCCCAACTTCGCGACCTCGCCCGCGCGGGCCCGGAGACCCAGCGACTATCCTGGTTCTGCAAAGCTTGATGGTAGAAAATGTGTCCGTGGGAGCGAGGGAGGTCGAGGCCTCTAGGCAGGCACGGCAACTGAGACTATCGACCAATTCATTCATTAATCACCGTCGATAAAATGAAAGAAAGAAGGGCACGAATCTTGTTGTCAAAAGGCTCGTGCACATAACGTGCGTCGAAGGTCCTCACGGCTTGCCCCACCCATCGAGATTTCCAGCTCCAATCTCGTGTTTCCTGTGTTGCTCACACCGGCCTGCTGCGTTCCCGCGGCATCAGGCTAGATAAATATATATGTAACTTAACCGGTGGTTTGGGCTCGGGAAAACCATCTCCATGCAGGGGCAATTTCTTGAAAGAATAAAAGCATCGTGGAGCAAAAAGGCGCCCCACGGCATCGCAGGGCTATGTGCCCTGCGGGGGGGGGGGGGGGGGGCGAAAAGGGCCCGTTTGTGGGTGCAAGCAACATGAGCATCAGCATCATCGGCATCATCACATAGCGACTACGTGGACCTGGAGGAGGGTCTTAACATTAAATGCATTTGCCTGTGTCCCTAAAACCCGCGTGGGTTGTTTCAAACTATTTTTTTGATTGCGATCGCCAAGACAAATGCCATGGTTGAAGTTGCACCTGTTCCAAGAGAGCAAATTTGAAGAACATGCTAGATGTCTGTGGTTTTGAAGGTTATTCCGAATTGAATGAAGAAACCATCCGGACCCTCATCCCCTCATGCTTGAGCAGCAGCCAGCATCGTCCCCCCCTCCCCTCCACCTTTCTGCCCGCCCCCCCCATCCCCCCATCCTACCACCACAAGTGGCAGAAAACGCTTAGCGGGCAGATTTGCACGCCCATTGGATCTTTGGTAGAAGCGAGGGAAACTATTAATGTTACGAAAAGTAGCATGAATCCTATGAAAATATAGAGGTAACGTAGGTTTTTTTTAGGAAGAAACAAGAACGCTGACAAAAAAAACTTGACACAAAACAACTCCACCCAGCCCCAATACTTGAATGCCAATGCAACATAATGGCTGTGAGTTCGCGCACGCATCTCGGAAGGATTCGTCAAACAAGCGCAACGCCAAGCTGACAGAACATACAAACATGTCACCATGATACGCATAAGACGCGGCTGGCCTGATTGTCGACAGAGCCGCCATGGCCACACCAAACAGAATGGAACTGGCTGTGCCGCTGGTGACGGCCGGGTCACATGCAGAGACTTCTCCTGAAGACACGGCTTGGTGCTTCTCGCGCATCACCTTCAGCTGGGTCGGCGGGATCATCCAGGAGGGCTACCAGCGTGAGCGGCGCAGGGCTCAGCAGGGAGGAAGCTCAGGGGATGGCCCTCTGGCTTTGACGGATGCCGACTTGCTTCAGCTACGAAGTGATGACACTGCCGAGTGCCTGTCCGAGAAGGCCGAAGGCGCCTTGCAATCGGAAGATGGCCACTGGGCCGAGAATGCGCCTTATGCGCGATAAGCTTCGCAACTCAATGAGGTAGAATGTGTGACGGAGCTTGGAGCTGCCTCGTCTGTGAGTCTGTGAGAGAGAGAGAGGTAGAATGTGTTACAAGTTCACACACGCATTGAGGGAACAAAGCCCCAGTTCCTTTTTTTCTTGTCCCAGGAGAGACGCGGCCATCCTTGGTCCGTGTGTTGCGGAAAGCATTTGGTGGGCCTTTTGCGCGGGCAGCTGCTTTCAAAGTGGTGTATGACAGCCTGCAAATGGCCGGGCCTTATATTCTCAAAGGGTTGTTGGGCTATTTGAGCCTTTGCAGCAGCCCCAAATCAGAAGAATGTACATTTGAGAACGGGATGGCCTACGTCCTGCTGATGCTTGGCAGTGCAGCGTTGCAAACGATGGTGCTGCATCAGTATTTTCACCGATGCTTCCGCACGGGCATGAGATTCAACGTCGCCTGTATCTCTCTTGTGTACAACAAAGCCTTACGCGTTGATGGAGCCGGCGGGAAGGCCAAAGACTCAAAGCAACGAACGTCCGGCGAGATCGTAAACCTCATGGCGGTCGACTCACAGCGACTTCAAGATTTCGCTCCGATGCTCCATTCTTTGTGGAGTTCTCCGTACCAGATCACCATCACCTTGATCTTTCTTCATTGGGTGGTGGGTTGGGCAACCTTGGCCGGAGTCCTGGCGACTCGTTTGAACACGGAACTTTAAGCCTTAACACACCTTTGCAGGTGAACACGCAGGCAAGGCAGTTTTCATCCTACCCATCCACACGCAAGGTGATGCTGGTGCAGATTCCCGCGGTGGGCTTGGTAGCTCGACGAATTCGCCTTGCTCAGCGTGCCCTCATGACTCTTGGGATTTCTTGACAGAAGCCCGAAGCTTGTGACACAGTGCAGTGAAAACAGCGACGCACTGAGAAGCGAGAAGCAACTTCACCCCAGCATTCATCACGGGGTTCTGGTCCTAAGCTTTGCTCGCCATGGCTTCAGACATGAGGGTTTCCGAAAGTGGGGGGGGGGGGGGGGGGGGGGGTACCTTTTCTGGGGATCCCCTGAGGCGATTTTATTCTCTTTTCGGGTATAAAAGGGGGTTAACCCTATTTTGGGAAACGTCGGGCAAAGGTTCTGGTCTCTACACCCCCGATGCAAGCTATATACGTGCTCTGCTGCTAAACAATTTTTCCACAAGCAACAACGAGGAAACAACAAACTGTGTGCATGTATGTATGTCTGTATGTATGTATGTATCTATCTATCTAAACCCTAAACCCTAAACCCTAAACCCTGCATGTATGTATGAATCAAACATATTTAGGCTTTTAGGGACGCGGCGACCGCAAGGACAATCAAGGATGAGCGGATCAAGCTCACCAACGAGGCTTTTGGCTCCATCCGGCTCTTGAAGATGCGACTTTGGCTCTGATTGGTGGGTTTAGGGTTTAGGGTTTAGGGTTTAGGGTTTAGGGTTTAGGGTTTAGGGTTTAGGGCTTAGGGCTTAGGGTTTAGGGTTTAGGGTTTAGGGTTTAGGGTTTAGGGTTTAGGGTTCTTGGCACAGCTTTTTTGTTGTGGGTTATTGGGGTTATGGCACACCTGTTCTTTTGGTGGATTCTTAGGGTTATGGCACATCATTTGTTTTGAGGATTGCTGGGGCTACGGCGCACCTGTTCTTTCGTGGACTGTCATTGTAGGTGTATGGCACACTTTTGTTTGTGGATGATTGCTATACTGATGGCACACCTTCTTTTTTGTTTTCTTGGGTTGGTTCGGGGTTTTGCTAGCGCCGACCAGCTCAGGTACGGGTGGGAGGACTCTTTTGAGACCAGGCTCGACAGCGTCCGCGAGAAGGAGCTGAAGCAGCTCAGGAAATACCAGATCCTGAACATCATCAGTTCTGCAATGTGGGCAACGGCACCGATTCTAACTGCCTTGGCTCTTGGGCCATGTTTGGGAATTTTAGTAGTCAGTAATTACAGCAGAGACTTTTGTGCACTGGGTTGCGCTTATACCCTACATCCCATCGACCCTGAACAGTCTGATCCAGGCTACGTTTGCCGTGTATTCGTGGCTCTACAAAGAGCTGACACCCAGCACCGCTTTTACAGCCGTGGCCCTCTTCAACGTCCTGCGCTTTCCACTGACCATGTTTCCGAACGCGACACGAAAGCATTAGAGCATTGAGGGCATGGTTCTCCATATGTAAGTGGTGTTGCTTGAGGTTCTGCAGCGACCCCACGTAGCGGCAACATGGAAGAAGAAGAAGTACCGACAATGACACCGACATCGGCACGTGCAATGGCAAAAGAAGCATAACAACTAGAGTGAGAGGATGTAGCAACAACCAAGTCATACTTACAACAAGCAGCACGCGCACACAAACAATCACAAACACCACATGCATCGGCCAACGAAGTTGTTAGTTGTTACGCAGCGGTTTTTTCGATGCTCTAGACACAACACGCAACAAAAAAAAACACAAAAAAAAGGCACTCACAGCAATCTGCTGAGGCGATAACGAGCGTGGTGGAGGCCAAGGTTGCCATCAGGCGCCTGGAGGACTTCTTGTGCGCTCCCGAAATCCCGGGGCGCGCACAGGCGGCGCCTCCAGAATTTACGGTGCAGGCCCGGGAAAGCGCGGAAACACCAAAACACAAAAGTAGCTGAATAAATAAGGGCATGTGTAGATATATACATATATAATTATATATATATATATATATACAAATATACATGTCTATACAGAAAAAAAATAAATAAATAAATATATATATATATATAAACACAGAAGCTCTAGAAGCCTGACCTTCCATTATTCTCCGCGTAGCTGTAGGTTTCTCCATGCCAGGTGCAGGATGCCGATCTGGCCTGGCCAAATGGAACTCCACTGATCTCAAAAGCCAACTTCTCAGTTCCCGCAGCAGTGGAAGGACCGCTGTGTTTTTGGGGGCGGGGGGGCGGGGAGGGGGGGGAGTTGAAGATCAGCTCGAATCTCTACTCCCTATAAACGCCTTCAAGGAACAGTATCCCTAGACCCCTAGACCCTAAACCCTAACCCCCAAACAACTCTAGATAGTCGTACCTGGAATCCCTGCGGAGTGGTTCGTCCAGCTATGCGGGTGCCAAAACAACCCCCAAACATTTTCCAGGACAGCAGGCGGCCCACCTGACAGTCGTGTTGGGAGCAGTCGGGGCCGGCAAGTCAGGACTTCTGCAGCTGGGCGAGGAAGTAGGTTCCGCTAGGAAAAGGGGTCTTTCTTCAGGTTTAGGATGTGTGGGGTGCAGGGCTTGGGGGTTTACAGGCACAGTTGCAGAAAAAAGGGTTTGGGGTGTAGGGTGTAGGTTCAGGGGGGATTAAGGGTTGAGATTGCTGATCTGATAACAGAGCCCAAGCAGCCACGGAAGAAAAGAGTTGTTATCCCTGCCAAGGCAGGCCTTGATCGGCGACCTGAGCCCCGTCTCCGGAGTTGTATCGACAGCTGGGCAGATTGCGTATACCTCCCAAGTGTCGTGGATTCGCAACGCCACGGTTCGGGATAACATTCTCTTCAACAGCAGCTTCCAGGAGGATCGGTACAATGCGGTGATCAAGGCTTGTTGCTTGCTGCCCGACCTCGATGCACTGCCCAATGGGGATATGACAGAGATCGGAGAGAAGGGCGTTAATCTGTCGGGAGGACAGAAGCAGAGGATATCCTTGGCGCGAGCAGTCTACTCTCAGGCAGACCTCTTGCTCTTGGATGATCCGCTTAGTGCTGTCGATTCACATGTGGCCAAGAAGCTCCTGAAGATGCTGCGTGGGCCTTTGCTCGCCAGATGCTCCGTCGTTTTGTGCACTCATCACCTCCAGGCAGTTCAAAGTGCAGACCAGATCATTCTCTTGACCCGGGGCGGCATGCCCCGGGAACCCTCTGTGGACGAAAGCGATGATTCCTTGGTACTTGAGGCAGAGAATCTGCCGGAGGAGTCGACCCAAGCCGACAAGTCCTCGCGGCCTGTGGCCAAGATCGCTTTCTGCGGATCTTTGAGCGCCTTCCGGGAATCTTTCCCGAAGCTGGTGGCCTCGAAGGAAGCAACAGCACCTCATCTTGAGCGCCAGGTCAGCGACGACCCCGCCACACCCAAGGAAGCCAAGAGCTCCGATGGGAAGTTGGTGCAGAAAGAGGAGGAGCAAGTAGGGTCTGTACCAGCTGAAGTCTACGGGGCTTACGTCAGTGCGGCAGGCGGTACCTGTGTGGGAGTGACAGTGATTTTCGGCATCTTGCTCGGTCAAGGTCTCCAGTCTATCGCCGCTGCCTGGCTGTCCTACTGGTCCGACCATAACAACCCCGAGAACGAGCATCACGTCACAAGCCTTCAAGGTTTGCTCGGGTACGGCGGTCTCAGCATCGCAGCGCCTTGGCCTGCGTTCTGTTCCAAGCCCCTGAATGGAAACTGCAAGACATCGGTGGAACAAAGGGCGACCAGGGTCTTGAGTCTTGATTTGTGAGAGTGTGGGCAAGGCATCGACCACCCCCAACCACACTCTGCCCCTCCCCACCCTTCCCGACTCTGGCTAGCTCGTACACGGACTGCCCGTCTTGGCTTCTCTTGGCATCATCCAGCCCAAGCGAAAGGATTTTGTGTTGCCACTGTTCTTGCGCACGTGAGGCCTTTTTGGGCATTTTCCTGACTAGCGCACTCTTCAGGCTAACAGCCTTGCGACTCGGCTGGCAATGGCATCCTGTTGAGCTGTTGCGTGCGGTTTCCTGTAGTATGCAGCAGATGCGGCAACAGATGGAACTCCTACACCCTGTAACTTTGGGATGCTGCCCCTTCTTCTAACAATCCTTAATAGGGATTATAATGGGGGGTTAGAATACGTATTAAGGACTGTTCGCAAAGGGGGGAGCATCGCAACTGTAGCAGCTGCTTGTTGCTTTGTAACTCTGGGCTCGAGGAAAGCCGCACGTACCTTTCATCGAAAGCTCTTGGCGAACCTGCTTCGGTTGCCGATGTCTTTCTTCGACACCACTCCGCTTGGACGTGTTCTCAACCGGCTCCTTCACAGCATTTTGGGATGTCTCTGTCCGAAGGGGCGAAGGGTTCGAACGTTTTGGAGTCGCTTCCTTAGCCAACCCAGGTTCTCCAAGGACGTCTACACCATCGATGAGGTCTTGCAGAACAACTTGTACAGCTACCTTCAAGTCCTTGCCGTTGTTGTGTGCACCATCATCGTAATCTCAGTCGCAACGCCGTGGTTCTTGGCCATCATTTTTCCGTTGCTTTTTCTCTACCGGGCAACACAGAATTTCTACATCCCTGCTTCCAGACAGCTCCCTGGCGGGCAGAAGGATTCTAGAATTTTGGGGTACATAAAGGAGCTCCCTGTATTTTTGGAAAGACCCTTCTGTTTGCATTTTTTGTAGGCTCGCTTCACGGGCGCATAAGGCTCAAGCGCATCGAATCCAATCTGCGCTCTCCCATCTTTTCCCACTTCTCGGAGACCTTGGACGGCACAGGGGTGATCCGCGCCTACGGCCAGCAAGGGATTTTCATCGCTGAGAGCCTCAGCCTGCACTTAGCCCATCCCAAGGGTCCCAATGTTCCCTAAACCCAAAACAAAACCCTAACAACCCCCCGCCCCCCCCCCGCCCCCCCAATACCCCGAGAGGGCCTTTAAGAGGCCCTCAAGAGAACCTGAACAACCACCCCTTAAGGAACCTCCAACGTGTGAGCCGAAGTATGCGGGCCTACTACTCCAACGTGTCTTCAAATCGCTGGCTCGCCGTCCGACTCGTGGCTTGGGTGCACTGCGGCTTCAAGTGAGGGTTGTTTAGGTTGCTTGCGGTTTGGGGTTTAGGGTTTAGGGTCGAGGGTCGAGGGTTTAGGGTTTTATGGCCTTCACAGCTACAGATGAGGCAGGCCCGCGCTTCAACCCTAAACCCCCGCCTCCCCGACCCCAAGGTGGAGTTTCGAGGCCTCGAGATATAGCTAGCAATATAGTTACTAATTTTAACGCTACGCGACCCGCCTCGGCCCGGCCCAGCGCATCCGCGTGAGCATGGTGACTGGACCCCAAGCAATAAGGGTTGGGTTGAGGGTTTAGGGTTCCGGGTTTATGGTTTATGGTTTGGGGTTTAGGGTTGAGGGTTAGTTTAGGATTGAGGGCTTAGGGCTCAAGATTCACGCTGTTGGGGTTTAGGGTTTTCAAGGTTCAAGGCGCAAGGGTGAGGGTTGACACGGTTCGGCTTGGATTGATCGTCGGGTTCGCCAGGCGGGGGGGGGGGGGGGCAGGGGCAGGCAAGGCTTTGGTGCGGGCGTTGTCAGGTGAGTGGGGGGGGGGGGGGGGTGGGGTGGGGGGGGGGGGGGCCTCTTCAACTGCTCTGGTCCATACACACTTGAGGCAAAAAAAGGGGAGGTCGGGGGAGGGGGTAGTGGGGGGGGGGGGTAGGGGGGGGTTGGGGGGGGGGGGGTGGGGGGGGTAGGGGGGGGGGGGGGGTAGGGGGTGGGTAGGGGGGGGGTAGGGGGGGGGGGGGTAGGGGCGGGGGGGTAGGGGCGGGGGGGGGGTGGGGGGGGTGGGGTAGTGGGGTGGCTGAAACCTGAAAAGCGAAAAACTGGGGGCGCCCTGCTGGGGTGGGCTGCAACTGCCTCTGGTCCTGGCGAGACATCCGCTTGCGGACCCTCCTCTCCTAGGGGGGGGTACCCATTTGAAGCAAAAAAAGGGGGCCGAAAAGTGGTTTTGGGCCTGGGGGGAGGATTTGGAGGGGGGTGCCTGTTCTGACAACCTATACACCTTCGGCCCGAGGCCTCGGCGGATATAGTTACTAACAAAGTTACTAATATAGTTATGGCCCAAGGATGCGCGAGTCTAAACTCTGAGTCCAGGAAAGCTTCGGAGCGGCGATCACCTTCTGTGCTGGGATGTTGGCAGTTCTAGGCCGACACACTATCAGTGCAGGCGCGCGGGCTTGTGGGGTGTAGGGTTTAGGGTTTAGGGGGTTCAGGAGTTGAAGGACACTTAGTCATGCTTAGGAATCTCCATTACGATATCTTGCGAGATGATCATCTTGTCCTCATGTTTGAGACTGTGCCTATGATTGGCTTGCTAGAGTATGGGAGCCCAGTCGGTAGCACTGGAAGCCTGTGCAGTTTCTGGCAGCACCCACGGGAGTCCGGATGCAAAAAGGGGTTCAGGAAGTTTCAGGAGGTTTGGGGTTTTGGACACAAGCTTGCAAAGGGCTTCTCTGGCAGGTTCAGGCAAGAAAGTCTTTGCTCTCCCTTGATGGGCACGTGGATGCTTCTGAACCTTCATAGCAGGTGAGCCAACCCGAACCGAAACCGGAAAGACTTGTCAAGGCGTGGCTGGCCTCTCCATTTCCTATGCCCTCTCAGTGACGCAGGCCTGGGCGAGCCTCCCTTCTCTAAAGGTCCATGTACCTCATTTACTACATACTTGGGCATACTTGGGCCCAAAGTCCCTATATAGGAGGTACTTTAAGACACAAGTGTTCCCTACTGGGGGGGGGGGGAGGGGTTATCTCACATCGCGTGGTGTAAATACACATCGTTCGGCGTCCACACTGGGGTCTTGCAGGTCCCGCACAGGACCCGGCACTGATCCTAGCCGTCCAGTTTTCAGCCTATGCAGCGTCCACAATGGGGTCTGGCATGCAAACCACCCCATGCCCATGGTCGGAGGAAGCGCCTGCGTCAAATCTCCACATTGGGTTTGCATTTTGGACAAGACTTGGCACTGATCCAAGCTGCCACCACGGCTTCAAGTTTGTTTAAGGCAGTTGGCAGGACGTTTCCGTGCTAGCTGGTCTAATGCACTTTTTCTATATCAAAACCGGTCTCGGTCGCAGGGCTTGGTCCGCCAGACAGTGTGCACTTGAGCAGCTGCGGGTCTCAGGTGTGTAAGGCCAGCAAAGGCTTCGAAGATCAACGTTCCGTATGTTGATACAAACCGAGCGTCTCCTTCGGGATTTGCTGCCAAAACGTATGCCAGATTGATGTAAAAATGGCCCGAAACATAAGCATCCGCGAGGTTGGGTGGATTTTGAGGTCTCCGTGGCTGACAGCCAAAAATAGCATCCACATTGGGGTTTCGTATCTTGTGATGTGTATTCTCTCGCGTGATGGGTAATTCTTTGCATGAGCGTCCACATTGGGGTGATGTGTATTTTCACGGCCTGATGTGTGATAACCCCCTCCCTTGTATGTAGGTACATGGACCCTTAGGGTTTTTTCATGCCTTTTCATTTTGGCAGATGTTGTGAAGATTCTTCGGTCGGAGGCCTTGAACTGGGTGGTGCGAATGGCAGCCGACCGCGAGACGAACATCGTGTCGGTGGAGAGGGTCCGGGAGTACCTGCGCCTGCTGCCGGAACCGCCTCACCACCAGGACACTGACCCTAGCCCTCAGTCCTGGCCGAAAAATGGGACCATTCGATTTGACGATGTGTATCTTCGCTACCGCCCGGATTTGCCCTATGTCTTGAAGGGCTTGAGCTTGAACGTTTGCGCGCGCGAGAAGCTGGGCATCTGTGGACGCACGGGTGCTGGCAAGTCTTCCGTGTTGAACGTGCTCTTGCGGCTGGTGGAGGTCGAGGCAGGCAAGACCTTCTTGGACGGAATTGACATCACCACCTTGGGCTTGCACTGCCTGCGCCGCAGCTTGACCATCATCCCCCAAGACCCGGTCTTGTTCTCCGGGACCTTGCGCTTCAACCTGGATCCCGTCGGCGAGGCCTCGGATGCAAACCTGTGGCTGAGCTTGCAGCGCTCGCACCTGTCGGATCATGTGTCGACCTTGGATGGACATGACGGCCGCGGTCTAGACAGTGTGGTGGCAGAGCAGGGCAAGAACTTCTCACTGGGCCAGAGGCAGCAGATGTGCTTGGCCCGGGCGCTGCTTAGATCCAACATCATTCTTTTGCTGGATGAGGCAACCTCAGCGGTGGACAGAGACACAGACAACCTCATCCAAGAGACGATCCGCAGTGAGTTTGCCGACCACACGGTTCTGTGCATTGCCCATCGCATCTCGACCATCATGCATTCCGATCGAGTTTGCGTCCTCGAGGCAGGGAAAGTCGTGGAACTCGCGTCCCCGCAAGAGTTGATGAAGAATGAGTCCTCCCATTTTGCCAAGCTTGCCAAGTTAGATTCGGCATGAGATCGGTTACATGTCTCCAGATCGGTTCTCGAGCAGTGCCTGACAGAAAAACGGCGCGATGCAAACTCTGTGCCGACCTGATGCGATTGCGTGTTGTTGACGGCGTAAGCCACCTTTTTCCCTCCTGGTTTGCTCCACGTCCTTGTTCACAACACTCGCTCGATCTCATTCTCTCTCTCTCTCTCTCTCTCTCTCTCTCTCTGTTTCTAGATGCATGTGTTCATTTTGTACTGTAGAATGTGTATGTTCGTGCTTGTTGCTCTTGCCACCCTTTGTCGCCCGATCCGCAGCGTTCGCGAGCCCAAAGCAGAGAGTGGGGCTCCCCAAGATGGGCCGGAGCGCCTCGCGAAGCCGTTCCCGGCGCAAGCGTAGTCGAACCTCGGAGTTTTTTTTTGTTTTTTTTCGGGGGGCGGGTGGGGGGGGGGGGGAGGGGCAGGGCTTCGTGTTTGTGGTGGGGTTTAGGTTGGGGACATTGTGTGTTTGGAATTTAGGGTTTTGGGCAATTGAAGAACCGTCCTCTGCATCACTGTAGAATGCAGGCAGTCTTTTTCTTTAAGGCATCGGAAAGTTGAGGGTTGTGGGTTTTTGTTCATCTTACATGGAAGCTTGGAGAGGTTGCTTGTCTACGGCCATAAGCCCCGTGACAGTTCCATAAAGTGTTCGAGCTTATCCAGCACCCTCGTACGACTGCACTGCGATACCCTGAAACTCCTTGAGCCGAAGGCATCCGTGTTTGCGGCCACTATCAACCCTGAACCTTCAATCCTAAGGTACACCCTACACCCTAAGCCTAAGCCCTACACAGAGCTCCCCGAGGATCGAGGGCGCGCAAAGAGAACCGCAGCCGGTCGAAGAACCGACGGTCCAAGTCGCGCACCTTGGCAACCTTGGCAGGGGGACTCTGAGATCTGTATGGCTCAAAGTCTAATTATGGGGTTGGGGTCTAGGGTTCAGGGTTTAGGTTTAGGGTTATAGGGTTTCTACCTTCAGTCCGTGCTTAAAAAGGATGCAGGTATAAAGCGTCGGATTGATGTCTATAGGGCTTAAGGTTGTGGGCGTATGCGAGGTTTAGCGGCTGTCATAGGCGCTTTAGACCCTTGGGCTTTTAGGCGGAGGGTTCAGTGGTGCTTGGCTTTGTTGATGTGGGTAGAAACGATGGTCACTTGAAGGAGGACGCACCATGGAAGACTCGTGATGCCTCATGCCGGAGCTCTCGCCATCTATCATCGGGATGGTCCTAGCAAGCTGTCAACAAAAGAAAAGGGATGCGGGGTTCTTGTATACAACTATCGACATCTGTCGACCGAGGCACGACCAAGGACCTAACAACCGACCAAAACCATTGTCGCGACGTTCCCAAAGCAGTAGCCCTCGGGCCTTCGGGCGCAGCGGTGCTGAGGCAACCGACAGCCACTAAACGCAACCAAGCAAACCCACGTGCATCTTGTAGAATGGCAAAGCCTTCATCTGCTAATTCCCTTAGCACTGAGCCCTCCTCCCCCCCTCCTAAACCCTAAACCGGAAACCCACCCCTAAAAGCAAGGAGACCGTAGACGACCCTCCTCGGAGAGTGCTTCGCCACGCAAGCGGACTCCTTCCCCGAAGCGCCGCGCTGCAGCGTCGAGATCCAAGTCGCGCAGCTTCGCCGAAAGAGCGGATGTTTAGGATTTTCGGGTAGGGGCGCCCATGGTGCTGTTGAGCATGGGTTTATGGCTTCGGGCTCGCGTTGACAGGTTGAACTTAGATTAGATGCGATTTTGGTGCACGTATTCATAACTATTGTGCTGCCATCTGCTTCACGGTGGCCGATACGCACTCAGCGACCTATAATGTAGCATAAGCATGGTTGGCACGAATATCGACACGCTCATCGCCAAGCGTAAAGCTGGGTCTTCATGAGCAGCACCCTGAACCCTCTACTTGCCACCAGAAAACTTAAGGACACTTAACCTCAATGAGGACTAGAAATTTAAGTCTTAATACTATCCCAACCATGAACTTGCAAAAATCCCAGCAGCCTGCCAGCTGAGGAAGAGCGACCCGAAAGCAGCAGAGATCAAAAACGCCTGAGCGAGTACCACCTACCAGCTTTGCAGTTCCTTGGGCGGAACTTGAGTAAAATGGGTTTAGGGTTTAGGGTTTAGGGTTTAGGGTTTAGGGTTTAGGGTTTAGGGTTTAGGGGTTGGTTGGCGGTCTCTTTAAGTAGGGTTTCTGTTTTGTAGGGGGTTCTTTCTAGCGTATCTAGGAGCCATATTAAGGTATAAGGGGTACCAGATGAAGAAAGAGACGACCGGCCTGTAGAAGTGAACTTGTCATCATGTTTAGGTGCTTTAGTTGGGCAGGGGGAACTCAGAAGCCGTGGGAAAGCGAAGGATTATGAACCTGCTCCAGATGGAAGTGGCTGGTATGTCTACAAGAAGACTAGCAGCTTGGCTTCGCAGAGGCCTTTTGTGAAAGGAGCAAGACGGATCATCCTAAATCTTCCGCATTCTGCCTTTTCTGCAGCCTGCGGCGGGACAGGAGTTGGGAAGAACAGTGACCATTCCCCCTAAACCCTAAACCCCCTAAACCCTAAGTCCCAGGCAAGTGGAAGTTCCATCCGGAGACTGGGCTCTATCTCCACATCAAGAGTGGAGTGTACTACATACAGAAGGCGGCTGGGTGGGACCTTGGGAATCTGTGCTTTTTTTCTTTCGTCTTTGCCCTTCTTGATTGTTTTTCGTTCATTGGGATGTTTAAGGGGAACTCCTTTATCTACCTCGTTTTTCGGTTTCCTCTTCACTTGGGTTTTTAGAGAGGATCCTTTGACCTAAGAAAGTCGCTTTCGGAGGGCTCGGGCTTTAGCTGAGGATGGCGACCCGAAGAACTTCCGCAAAATCGACGATGACGATGACCCCATCGTCCGGAAGATGATGCTTGTTTTGGTTAACTGTAAACGAGAACAAAGAGTTTGCTCTCTTTTGTCAGCTTTTTTGGTGCAAAAAAGAGATCCACTTTCTAAGTCGCACGCTGAACCAAAGCACTTCCTTAAACCCTAAACCCTGAACCCTAAACCCTAAACCCTAAGGCCCTAAACCCTAAACCCTAAACCCCTGGAAGCCTTTGTCCGGGGCCTCGAAGCAGACAAAGGAAGCAGTCGGAAGAGATGCGACGGGCCATCCAGTCCACGGAGTTCCTTGTGGATGCTGAATCACACCTTGGGCTTGGCGAATTTAAAAAAAATTAATCACACCTTGGGCTTGGCGATCTTTTTTAATTATCACACCTTGGGCTTGGCGACCAGGGTTTGGGGATTCTAAAGGTGTGTTCTAAAGAGGGGTCCTGAAGTCTTGCACCCTGAATACCCTAAGCCTCGCAGCCCTCTATAAGAACTCCCTCTCCCTACACCCTAAACCCTACACCCTAAGCCTTAAACCTTAAACCCTGAACCCTAATCCGCAACCCCCATCAAGCCCGGCAAGGTTCGTCCACTTCGGTGAAGGCGCCGCTGCCGCGGCGGCGCCCAGGGCCGTTCGGGAAGATGGTGCCCCTGCCCCTCCGGCACCTGCGCTCCGCACATGGGTCAAAGGGCATCGTTTTGTTGGGGGAAGCTTGGGGAGTTTGCAATCCTGGCGTTTAGAAGGAGTTACGGGAGTGAGCCGGCTGGATTGTCACTCAGTTGCAGTACAAGCTTAAGTCTAAGTGCTGGAACCAACGTTCCCGTGAGCCCACTGGAGTTTCGTGGGAGACAGGCCCTTCTTTGGGCCTTTTTGTCCTGGGAAGTTCCTGTTCCTGCCCCCTTTCGACGCCATCTGGGCCGGCCAGGTAGAAATTGCCCCGGCTCCACGGCCGCCAGAGAAGGAGAAGCCGCCCGAGGGCGAGAGCGACAAGAAGCTAGAAGGGAAGGCAGGCGGCCTTTGTTGAGATCGTTCAGGGTTTAGGGTGTAGGGTTTAGGGTTTACAAAAAACCTTATGAGTTTCCCTGAGCCCACCACAGCAACCCTTCTGCAATCCTAAACCCCAAGCCCTAAACCCTAAACCCCCCCCGAATGGATGAATGGCATTTCCGGAATGAGTCCCTGCAATGTGGCCAGTGAGTCTCAGCTATGCGGGTGGCAGAAACTTAAGGCCAAACCCTTGGAGGTGCGGGAGTGGAACGCAGAGAAAGGCTTCGGCTTTATCATCCCACTGGTCCGGGAGGACGAGGAGGCTCCCAAAAGCATCTTCGTTCACCTCTGGAGACTTGGGTTTCGGGGGGTTGACAGGATTGATTCGGATTGATTCGGGGTTTATTCGGGTTTTATAGGGTTGACAGGGCTTGTAGGGTTTGGAGGGTTACCCCAAGACCCTGCAACCATGAGGTGGGTGGAGCAGAGCAACCATAAGCCTCGACTCTGCTCCAAAACTTGCCATGCTGAGGAACGTCGTGGGCAGCACCAGCAAGAACCCCATCAACCTCCGGGAAGGTTCCAAGGTCCTCTACAAGTTGGGGGCGCCTCTGCCAAGCAATTCTGCCCATGGCCCACTCTCCAAACCCCAGTGCCCACTGTTCGCCCTGCTGACAGTCCTTCATATGGCGATTATCCTACCCCCTATTCAATTATTCTAATTCTTATTCAGGACTGTTAGTGTAAGGGGAAACATCCCAACCTCTATACACCAGACTCCGAGAATCCCCCGAATCACGGCCAAGGAGCAAGATGGAAAGCCGAGGGCGCAGGATGTGGTCATGCTCGGGAAGGACTGCATGCCCGGTAGAAGGGGCGTGTATGAATGGTTAGGGTTTAGGGTTTAGGGATGCAAAAAAAGGGGTTGAGTTTATGACGAGATAGTGGCAACCTGTTAGGGAATTCGGCGCGCCTTGTTTAGGGTTTCCTGCGCTCGGGTCTGCGCCAAAATCAGTCTGAAGCTACACCAGTTTCGGATCCTCCGCAAGATCCCGAGTGAATTGAGCTGGAATGAAGTAGAATTCCTTGTCATGCTTTCAATTCAAGGTCAAACCTTGGATCCGAATTGGCTGTCGGTGTTTCTCTCGGGTTTCAGGGTTCAAGGTGTGAGCCCAACAAGCCTAACAAGAAAGGCTGAAATCAGGGTTTAGGGTTTAGGGTTTAGGGTTTAGGGTTTAGGGTTTAGGGTTTCGCAGCCCACAGCACTTCGACACCTCCTCTGAAACCCCCCCGGGGAGAGGACGGCAAGCCTCTGCCTGTGCACGCGGGCGCCCAGAACTTGGAGGACACCTGGGGCTGCGGGCTGGGTTGAGGTTTAAGGCTTCCGGGTGTGAAGCCTTTAGGGTTCAGAGGAGGGCACATTGCATTGCAGTCCCTCGTATATAAAATGGTGCTTCAGGGTTTAATAGTTTTGGGGTTTAGGACTTAAGCTCAAGGTGGTTGGGATACTTTGGGCTTGCTCAAAGGCACCTCAAGCAAGTCCACAGCTAGGCTTCAAGACCTGAACCAAGGAAAAAAGGCGGAGCTATTTCGTAACTGCCGAGACGCTTGGTGTGCCTTGGCTCAAGAGCTTCCCTGCGAGCAGCCGAAAAAAGCCCGAAACTAGCCCGAATCAGCCAGAGATTATTGCGGATGGTGCTGGTCTTCGGCTAGGGCTGCTAGGGCTTGTAGCTTGCAGCTGGTAGCTTGTAGTTGGTTTCTTCTTCCAATCTGTTGCGAGGTGCGGGTTCACGCGGAGAGCTGGCCCGGCAAGCAGATCGAGTTGCAAGATCGATACGCCCAGGATGAGGAGATCGGACCTTCATTTTTTGGCAAAACTCAAAAACAAAAACACGATCCAACTTTTTTCCCCTCCTCAACTTTGTTCACATCTTCAAACCATACAAGCACCTGAGCCTACGCACGTCAGGCAAACAACAAGAATCCAGGTGGCGAGCAGAAGCACACATAAGAAACACCTCCTTTGAAGAGTTCCCTAAACCCTAAACCCTAAACCCTAAACCCTAGACTGGTTCAGAGGCAATGGATGAGCTTGGAGTCTACTTCGGCGTCTTTGATGGCCACGGGGGCGCGCAGGTCAAGGGAATGAGGGCTCTGGCTCGGGCTCGGCTGCGGTTCAGGGAGCTTCATTATATATATATATATATATATATATATATAAATAAATAAATAGATATAGATATATATATATATATATAGATATATATATAATGGAATATATATATATATAATTATATATGTATATAAGCTGTTAGGGTCTGGGCCTCCGCTCTTCTGGGAAAGAAGCCGAGGAGAAACCTGCAAAAACTAGGAATCTTCGAGTGGCCCTTTAATTGGGAGTTTCCGGGCTCCTGTCCCGCGCTTTCGCGCACCGCAAGGCCCGCGACAGGGGTGAGGATGGTGGGGGTGCGGACGCGCGTTAGACAAAAGGCAGCCCCTACAACCCGAAGCCCTCTGTTGGTTGGGAAGAGGTTTCTGAGCTGGCCGCCAAGAACCTCCACCGGAATATCTTGTCGTGCTTCCGGCAGAAGGCGGGCTAGGTTTCGCGTGTTGGGATGCCGGGGGCCTTCGGCTTCGACTCTAGGTATCGGGTATGGGTGTGCAGGGGGCATCGCCAGGTTTCTCGATCCCTTTGGGTAATTAGGTGGTGTCGTTGAGCCCTAAACCCTAAACCCTAAACCCTAAACCCCATAAACCCTGCAAAGGCATCATAAGGGGCGCGCACGGTCCAACTCCTGCCCCAGGCTGTGCAGCCAGCCAGCCGGGACGAGAAGATCAAGATGGCCGTGCGAGAGGCTGCCATCACATACTCTTTGTCATAGTTGGGTACCATTTTACATTTTTAAGGGTACTTAAACCGAATAAGGAATACAAGTTTACATTTTTTATCTTATCCCAACCAGGCAGGCACTAGTACTGGAACCACCAGGGCGTGCCTTTTGATTCCTCTCTCTCCTCCCTCTTTGGGGAGCTTACCTACACCCTAAAAGAGGTTGGAAAGGGGTGACATCCATAGATAAGATGTCAAAGCAGGGTTCCGTTGAAGAAGGAGGTGGCCCGCAAACAGGGACCCTGGGTGGGAACTGAAGCAAAAACCCGGAGTGGGCCGAGGCCTTCTCGCAGACCGACCGAGACATCCTCTCGCTCTCGGAGAGGCTTTTGAGGGGATATATATATATATATATGTATATTTATATTATATTAGAGTATATATATATATATGTATATATGTATATATGTATATATGTATGCACTAAGCTTTGCACCCCCCCCCCCCCCCCTGTAAGTCAGGTGGGGGAAATAGATGCATCTTGAGGTGGCAGGAAGGGTGAGTCCATGACATATCCCTAAAAGCCCTTCCACTCCATGCCCTAAAAACCCTAAACCCCCCCCCTGAGGAAGAAGTTCGATTCCGTTGGCTCCACTGCAGTCTGCGCCATGCTGCATGGGAACCCAAAGCTGGGAACTGCACTGCGGCTGGCGCTCGGCCCTGGGGTTCGGTGATTGTTAGGGTTTAGGGTTTAGGGTTTAGGGTTTAGGGTTTAGGGTTTAGGGTGTAGTTCTCCATGGTAGAAATCGCAGACGGCTCTTAAGAAGTATAGGCATCAAGAGCTGTCTAGGTGTGTCAAGAGCTGTCATGCACCGGCGGTTTTTGGAGCTTATTAGGCTCGTGGGTGCGCCCTGCAGATTTTCTCACAGGCTTCTCCCTAAGATGGGGGGGGGTTGGGAAAATAGGGAGCCCCTAATGCAGACCCCCAAATGGTAGGATCCCCTGATAATAAGGACCCCAAGAAGGTCCCTATACCCTAAGCCCTAAACCTTAAACCCCCCTAAAAATGGGAGGTGCTGGCCCACATCGGGGATTCCAGAGCGATCCTCTGCAGAGCGGGGCAAGCAGTCCAGATCACCGAGGACCACAAGCCGGACCGGATAGACGAGAAGACTCTTGCGGCTTGCAACCGGGGGGATGGTTGTTTTTTTTTTTTTTTTTTTTGGGGGGGGGGGTGTGTGTTGTGGGCCTTTTTTGGGGCTTTGGGGTTTGTAAGCTTCCATGGAGTTCATTTGAAAGTTTGAGGTCTGCGGCGACTCTGCGCCAGCTTCTTGAGCCCGAAATCGCCCCCCGAAATCGCTCTGGGGCTTTGCCTACTGGGCTTAGGGGTTTAGGGTTTTGGGGTTTTGGGGTTTGGGGGTTTGGGGGTTTAGGGCTTTGGGGTTTGGGGTTTGGGGGAGCCTCCGAGGAAGCGGATCGAGAGGGCAGGCGGCCTGGTCTTGAACGTGCGAGGGGCTTGGCGGATCGCGGCCCCTGCCAACCCGCGCGGGTCCACCAAGTCCTCGCGCCGGGAATACCAAGGCCTGTCCATCACCAGGCCGGGTTCCGGGCTCTTTTTGTGGGGGGGAGGGGGGGGGGAGTTTTGATGAGAGTGCCGATAAGTACGCCGGAAAATTACGTGGAAGTGTAGTGACAGCGACAGCCATGTGCATCACCTTGCAGCTGCATTGTAGCAATACGCCGGGGATGCCTAGGACCCGCAGTTCCTTCTTCCTCAGCGATTGTCCAATAGAGATGCACAAGAACAGCCTTAAACCCTCAACCCTCACCACCCCCCCCCAAAAAAAAAAAGAAACACAACCTTTACCCTGCGTAACCTCTCCCCCCAAATAAACATGAACACAAAGATGCACCTTGTAAAGGCCCTTTCTTGCCGGCCTGTGTGCGCGAGTGCGTGTCGAGGTCCTTAGGGGACGCCTGCTTCAAGAACCCGGCCTTGTCGGCGGCCGACCCCGAGGCTCTTCCATTTTGTTCGGGCCTTCTAGGCTCGGTCGATTTCAGGGGACCTTTATAGGGTTAATTTGTTTAAGGTTTACAGCAGGTTAAGGGGAGAAAAAAGGCTTAGTTTAGGGTTTTACGGGATTCGGTCCGAGGGTTGAGGGCTTAGGCTTGCTGAGGCATTGCCCAGAAGGCTGGGCTTAGGTTTGTTCAAGGCTTTGGCATCGTGAAGGGTCCACTCTTTTCAACGCGAGTCGCAGTCCTCTACGCCTGTGGTTGCTTGCGGGATCACGTGGACCTGTCTTGCATGGGCCTGGGCCTGGGCTTCGAGGCTTGCCGAGTTGGGCTGTCAAGGTTTCAGTCGGCTTTGTGCACCAGCTCTCCAGGTGAGGGTCCTACCGATATCCGACAAGGACCTCTTCATCGTGCTCGTTACCGAGGGGGCCACCTTGATTGAATGGCAGAGTTCCCTATGCTTCCGCTAAAAGCTTCACTTTGAAGGCTTACTCAACACGTAGTCGCAAGAAAAGCACTAATGATTCATTAATGAGCATCATGTAATGAGAGAGAGAGAGAGTAAGAAGAAGACCCTTGAGACCAGGTCACAAGAGTCCTCTCCAACCAAGATGTCATCGACTGCGCCAGTGGCTTGTTGTGAAAGGGCGTGCAGATTTCGGTGTGGGGCGTTGGGTTTGGGCAAGTGCAAAGTCCGCAAGTCGACGAGGCATCCTTCCGAAAAGAAGGGCCAGGTCTGTAGCATTGCCGATCACCTATAACCCTTTTCTCGTGGACCAGGCTGAGGTTGATCGTTGCTTCGGTAGTTGCGGATGCCAGAAGTGCAGTCTAGGCTTGTGCTGCTTGTGCCGGCAAGAGGCCAGAGGGCCTCTGTTGCAATATCGCTCCCAGCCAAATGCCCGTAGGTAAGCACTGGGGCGACTCCGAAGAAGCCGCCAAAAACATCGTCCGCACTGCGTTTCAAGCCGGCAGTGATGAGACTCTTGGTTTAAACTTGGGTTTGTACAAAGGCTGTGAGGTCCCCAAACAGTGATCGCACGATGCTCTTTTGAGGAACGCTTGAGGTGCTTTTTCGGGGTGCCGAACCCGGACATTCTAAGACCCCAAGACCTCATGCACGCGCTGCACGAGGTCGTGGGTCTCACAAGAGGCCTTGCTGGGAGTTGAAGGCCGAAACAAGGTGCCAGGCACCAACCGCCGGCACCAAATTCCTCGCAACCTCATTGGCAGCTGAGGAATTTGACGGCCTTGGTCGTTCAATTCGGGTGGGCCGACAAGCACACGCCGCGGTATCTTGGAAAGGCTTACTCTAAACCCTAAGCCCTAATCCACAAACCCTAAACCCTAAACCCTAAACCCTCAACCCTCAACCCTACACCCTACACCCTACACCCTACACCCTACACCCTACACCCTACACCCTAAACCCTAAACCCTAAACCCTAAACCCTAAACCCTAAACCCTAAACCCTACCATATCCCTGTCTTGTGGTAACGAGCCCCCAGGCCTTGTAGAACTCTGTGTGGGCTTGGGGCATTCGTCGATGAGTGGTCTCGATTGCCCTGCGTGCCTGGAAGCTGAAAAAAGCGAAGCTGCTTCTCTACCCAAGGTATATCGAAAGGAGGCGGCAGATGGTGGCGCAAGGTGTGGCCGCTTGCCTGTGAAAAGCCCTTCTTTGGAGCCGCCCTGAACCCTACTATACTTTGACCCCTATCAAGCTTCGTGGGGTGGACGTGTCACGCCAGTGTAACAAAACCTGGTGCCGAGGATGGGGGAAGCCCGGTGATGAAGCCCACGGCCGCGCCGAGCAAGGAGGTCTTCTCTGATAAAGCCGTGGAGAAGGATGATTTTGACATGTTTGGCTGAGGACCGCCAGCTCACAGCACTGTATGCCTTTTTTTGAGCCCAAGACATCCTTGGCCCTTGCAAGAGATGGCCTGGCTTGCAGGGCGCAGATAAGTTCTTTCTGGGGTCTGAATTTGCTAATTTCTTGCTCCTCGGATCACACAGATGTATACAGCTCTCTCGTGCATGGACGTGACCATCGATCCCACCCAGAGCAATCTCTGTTCCCAAGCGCCTGTTTCCCGAGGATTCGGCAGCGCAGCAGCCCAAAGCAAGCAGAGCCTGAGCCGCTCCATAAAGAACACCAAGATGCACAGCGGCGGAGAACTCGACACGGATAAGATATGTCTTTATGCGCAGGTGCATGTTACAGACACACGCATAGACACAAGTGCACACAGGGACACAGCTTTGACTGGGCAATCGAAGCAATGCTGCACTCTTAGGAGCCGATGGCTTGGGGTTGAGGGTTTCAGGCTCCACCACTTCCACGACAGAAGAAGAAGAAAGAGCGATGAGAGAAAGTCAAGGCAAAGTCAGTAGCAGGAGTAGCACGTCGTGTGTTACAACGCTCCGGGGGCCAATGCGAAAAATCAGCGCGACGGCACATCTTGTGATACCGGTAGCCCGGCAGCCCGTGTGCCAACCTGCAATTAGACTGGAAGCTCCTTATCCCTTTCTATGCCCTACACTTTTTTTTGCCCCTATGCTTTTAACCGCAAGCTTTCTACTGCTTTGACTTTCAGGGCCCGATTGGGCTTTGATCGGGCCGACTTGGGGCGGGCTGTTTTGATGGATGCCTCGAAAGCGTGAGTTAGCCTGAAGTAGAGGGTCAAAAGACTCAGATCTGCCTGGAGAATTGGGGACTCATATACCAACCCAAGTCTGTTGCCTTCAAACCATGTAGCCATGCATCCCCCTTAGAAGCACCGGTAAAGCTGCGGCTCTGCTTCCGACGCCCCGCAGGCCCCACAAGCCATCCAGGACCTGCCAAAACCGTCGAGCCCTTCATCTGAAACACCATAACCTCCACATACGCTGAAGCCCCTGATACCAGCTGATCCTGAATACTTCTAGCCCTCAGCCCGACTGCGCCAAGTCGCATGCGGGCCAGCCACAAGTGCATTTGCAGCCATGGCTCGCTCCAGATCACGCGATCGCGCACGGTTACTGGGAATGTTTAGTGCGTTTCGGATCTTAAAGTCTTAAAGGCTTGGTGGTTTCAGAATTTACCATGACCAATGATGAGCACATCGTTGCCTCCCTCAACCAAAAAGGTCCTAGTAGGCAAGTCTCACAAGCCCAAAGCTTGAAAGGCCTGTTCTGCAAATGGGTTCGTTTGGGGGCTCGGCCCGAGTTGTCTTGCCGAGGCTCCGACGTCAAAGCCTTCAACCCCCCACATCATCCCAGAACAGCCCAAAGAAGCCTATGGGAAGGCAGCTATCATGACAAGTCTATCTTCAGGACGCATTTTGTGATGCCTGCTGGTCAGGTGACGGTCATCTCAGCCTATGGGATGCCAAACACACGCATGTCCACACAACTCCCGATATTCTTTGCTGAGCCAAAACCCCGAACCCAAATCCGACACCCAAAATGGGTATTTCTCAAAAAAGGGGTACCCCTTTTATCCAATTGAGTAGAATCCCCTTAAAGGGACCCCCAAAAGGGGTACCCCGATGTTCGGAACCCCCGAAATGGCCTCAAACCCCTGAAACACCCCGAAATCCTCCATGCCCTGCTGGGTCCAAGGGACGGGCGCCGGCGGAAGTGCGATGCTCAGCTTCCCTTCCCTTCTGGGGTTTTTCGGGTGCAATTCACTTTGCTTGGGTTCGGGGTTTAGGGTTTAGGGTTTTGCTGGAGGGTTGGGGGGGGGGGGGGGGAACTCCGACGTTCCGATCCATGTGTTCAAATGACACGTGGCAGGTTAGCCTAACGCGCAATTCGCAGATGCCTGAAAAGTTTGTGCAGACTACCGAGGAAGGCGCGAAGTATCAACCCCTCAACCCCTGAAGCTGCAAGTCTTTAATTCTAGACCCTTATTTGTAATTAGTATGTTGTGTGTACTTTCGTACTTCTTTGTTTTGCACCCAAATTGGTGGCTAGTTGAGTGCAACAAGACAAATTGGACATCCCTAAAGCGAGCTGCCTCCTACGCAAACCTCCAAAATCCTCCAAACTCCAACTGCCTGATTGAGCCGAGCTGCACAAACCTCTCCCTTCCTAACCCTAAGCTCTGCCCTAGAGCCTCTACCCTATAAACCCTACATCGCTAAACCCCGTGTATCTTATAAACCCTATAAACCCCCTTAAGCAATCTTCCAGCCCCCCCTCCTGTCAGGTCCTCACCGCTGCAGAAGGCTCACAACAAAGCATACTTGAAAGACACAATTGTGGCACGCTTTCAAAGCAATTGCTGGAGTTGTGTACCACGTGCTTCTCGAGCCAATGCTGAAGTCCCAGATTTCCCCCCCCCCCCCCCCCCCGAAAAACCGGGCAAACAGCAAATTCCCACTTCCCACTGTTGCGCTTTTCGTTGCTAAGCAAGTGGACTTCACGCAGGGCGCAGGATGTGAAGAGTGTGTGTGTGTGTGTGTGTGTGTGTCCGCCGGCTTGTTCGAAGTGTGAGACCCTCAAGTACTTCCTAAAGTCACATCAATCTATGTTGTAGCTGTTGCATTGTAGAGAAAGACTTGAACCGAATCGCACGTCGCTCGGACGCTACATGGCTGCACATCCCCACAGGGCAAGCGGAAACGCGAGAGGGAGAACAAGGAAGCCAAGGCAAAGCGGTTTGAGCAGGAGGCCCTGGACGGCTCAGGGCTTTGCAGGAGGGTTGAGGGTTCAGGGTTTAGGGGTTTAGGGGTTTAGGGTTTTGGGTTCAAGAAAGGCTTTGCAGGGTTTGTTGAGTTTACTGAATAGATTACAAGGCAGACTTACGGGGTGTTTAGTTTGGCCCCCTGGTCCATCTCATTTCTTGTGGAGAGTCTTGGTCTGGGACCCATGCTTTTTGGGGGCTTTTGCTCTGGTCCAATATTTCTGCAAGGAGGTGCCAAGCGTATTACGGCCCGTAGAATGGCTCTTGGCCGGCAGCAGCCCTAGAAGCCATAAGTAGTGAAATTCATTGCATCGGGCCGGTTAACATCGATGAAACATGAGACCAAGCATGCTGAAACCACAATTCCTGTGCAGGTGCAGAGACGACTGCAGGAGCGAATCCATGGCCGAGATTTCGAGGCCTTGATTCAGGCCTGTGCGGCCTTCCCTGTATACTAGATTATAGGATTAAAGGGCGCTGGAGGCCTTTAGTAGGGCGAAAAGCCATGAAAAGTAGACCCCGAAGAAACAGACCGAGGGCATGAGCTTGGAAGGTTTTGGCTTGGCACTTCGTGTGTTGAACGCGAGAGCTCGCGGCAAGGAGAAGATCCGAGGCGAGCTGGATCGACATTTCAGCCCGGAGCCCCAAGAGAAGCACTTGACTGCTCGCAACCCCAAGCCACGCCCCTTCTTGGGTTGCCATCGGCATGAATCATGACTCTTGAACATAGAATCGACTTTTCCGTTTTGGGCTTTGGGGGGGGGGGGGGGGGGGCTGCCTACCGTTCCTGCGCCTCCTTCCAGGTCTCGTCAAGATCGAGATTGACATGCAGAAGAAGAAGCTGACAACCCGGCATGTACTCAGTTCCCCGCTCGGCCGCTCCACACCCTACGCCCCTAGCCCGCTTAATCAGTTTTTCTTGCTTATATTACAAAACCCAAGGGCATATTCTTTAACACTAAACCCGAAACCCGAAACCCTAAACCATACACACTAAACCGTAAACCCTAAACTCTAAACCCTAAACCCTAAACCCTAAACCCTAAACCCTAAACCCTAAACCCTAAACCCTAAACCCTAAACCCTAAACCCTAAACCCTACACACAAAACCCTAAACCCTAAACCCAAGGGAGTATAAACGAACAACACTGTTACTAAGATTCTAAGGGGAGTAGTGAAGCACACTGGAGAGTGCCCCGGCTTTGGCCTGTTTGGGGGCAACTTTGCGCTGGAGCTTAAGGGGGAGCTGGCCAAGCTGAGGGTTTTGGGTGTTTAGGGTTTAGGGTTTAGCAGCGGTTGCATCGCCCTTGAGTGCTCTCGACCTGAAAGTGGCAGGACAGCGTCTAAGGTTCTACTAGGGGAGGTTCCTTGGTGACCCGCCTTTGTTGAAGGGGTTCGGTACCATTGTAAACCTTCCTGCCCAGGACAGGGTATCCTCAACCCTAACGCCAGACAAAAACCTGTTCAGTTGCTGGGGGCAACCCCATTAGCGTGGCAGGATAGAGGAGTTCAGACATGAGCGGGACCAGGAAGAGAGGTCCAAGCAGGAGAGCTCTGCCTAGCGTAGGTTTCGCTGTTTACTGCATTATGGAATTTGTCTCGACCTGGCGTCCCCAAAAGAATTGTCCGAAATGCCGAAACTGTTGGCCAAAAGTCTTCTTGCAGAGGTTCGCTGTCATTTGGTGGGGTGAGGTGGGGGGTTGGGGGAGAGGACGAGCAGAAAAAAAAATGCCCTTGGTGGGTGGACGCGGGCACACCGCCAGGAAACGACGAGGGACGAGGGTTGCTTGTGAAGTCATGTTTGCCACATCGAGAGGACTTGGCTTGGGTCTTGACCTTCTGGTCTGTTCGCCCTGGTGCCCGGCAAGGGGATCATGAACCAGCACAAGGTCCTGTCAGGCTGTGCAGGCAGCCGGCCCAGACTTCGCGCACTTGATATGGTGCAAAGATGAGGTTACATGCCCATTCCCTTTCATCCCAAATTCCCATCTGTCCACTTTTCAAGCACTCAGGAAGCACAGCGTCAGGAGCCGAAGGTAAAACGCGGACGCTGTAGCAATGCTTGGAGGAAGGCAGACGCAGGAAAAGCAAGAGGCGACAATGCACGCTGCAACGCACTTGTTGATGATCCGCATGGCGCGTTCCATTTCAACCGTTAAGCAGCACAGTCTCTTGACCATGCAGGGCGGGGTTGTGAGAGCAAGAACTTTCTTGAACATACAGGGGGCTGTAGTGCTGTAGTGGAAACAGCCTTCGCTTGACCACGCAGGCAACTGTAGTGAACAAAAACTACTTGCCCATGCAGGGTGCCATGGCTGTGGCGAGAAAAAAATTGGTCAACGGAAAAAAATCACGAGCTGCACTGTTGAAGTAAACGCAAGTGTCAGATTGTCAGCTGCTCAACATGTCTTAGGAGGGTTTCGGGCATCATTGTTTTGAATTCGGGTGCTGACCTTTAAAGCAAGTGCTCCTAACAAAAGGATTCAAATGGGAACCAACAGGGCCACCCCCAAGAATCGAGCACGACTATAAAGGTGGGGTCTATAGGGTTTAGGGTTTAGGGTTCCCATATGAAAGTCCCTTTTTGCCTAAATCGGGGAGCCTAAACCCTAAACCCTAAACCCTAAACCCTAAACCCTAAACCCTAAACCCTAAACCCTAAACCCTTGGAGCAAGCGAGGAGCTGGAGGCCATCATCCGAACCAACCAGCAGCGGACCCAGGAGACCTGCTCTTGGCTCTCCTGGGGCCGAGGATAATGTGGGTATATTCCCCCAATGGGGGGGTACCCTGAAAAATCCCCCCCCCTCCCCCCCCCCAAAAAAAAATAGCAGAATCCTGATTCAAGCCCCAATTTTCGGACACCCCCTGAAGGGTTCCCGAAAATAGGGACCCCGAAAAGAAACCCCCCGAAGAGTAGGATCCCCCTGTAGCAAGGACCCCAATAAGGGTAAACCCCCATATGAGAGAACATTCTGGGAGCTGTCCATATAAGTGCACCCGAAACCTTAACCCGCGAAGCTTAACAGCAACAGTTGCAGAATTGAGTGTCCAGCACATTTCGCCCCGGAGTCGGCGCAAGCCCAAGAATCCGTCCCCCCTTGAGGAGCAGCAACAGCGAGTTGCTGCGGCTATGGGGTCGCAGGCGCCACCTTCAGGGCGTCCAGATGTGGGGTACGCAAGTTGGGGTGTTTCTGCAACGCAACAAAAACCTCACTTAAGCCTTGCAACGCACAGGAGAGGCGCAGGAGGGGGGGCAGCGGCATGGGGGTTTCGGGTGGGTCGGGGGCTCGACAGTCCTTAGCACCTTGGCCGTGCCTTGAGGGCTTCAGAGGGTTCTCTAAGCCAACCTGAAGCCCTTCAGGCGTTGATGGGGGAGCCCTTGAGATGTTCCCCCTTATACCAGTCCTTTTGTGGATTCTGATAGGTGGGTTCTAGAATCCCTATTAGGGAGCTGTTAGTAAAGAGGGTAAACATCCCTCCGAGGGAGCCCCTTAGACCGGAGGCCGATGCACTCATCCACGAGCGCGGCCTCATACAAAAGACGAAGGACTATGCGAGGGTCTCATTGGAAAGGGGGAAAGGGTCAGCTGAGTCTTGCGTGCCTGGACCTGGATCCGTAAGAATCACATCCCGTCTTCGCTTTTCATGGGCTCCCGGAACACACCATCGGTACGTTTTCATATGAGGTATAGAGGGTACAGTGGATGCAGAGGTGCTTCAGTGGCTGCAAGTCTGGCACAGCCGTTGGCCCCCAAGCCTCTGCTGTAGGTTCTCTGCAATGTCAATGCCTCAAGGCTGCAGGCCAAAGCTCTGAACGCTTAAGGCCCTTAAGGCTTTAAGCATTGAAACCCCCGAAATCTGAAACCCAAAGGCTCCAGCCTTCAAGTCTGCAAGCCCAAAGCTCGAAACTCTCACCCCTTCCATGGCCCGGATTCCCTTCTAAAAAACCCATGTCAAGCAGCCAGGGAGTAATCGCGTCAGGCATTGAAACCTTCAAGGTTTGAAGCCTTTCAGGCTCCGGCCCCAAGATCCAAAACGTAAAGCCCCCGCCTTCCAAGCCTTCAAGACTTCATCGTCACATACTCTTCTGCAAGGAGCAACGTCGGAAAGTGCAGAAGGAGTTCGAGTCTGGAGGCGGCTTCTTGGCTCCAGTTGCAGAGTTCCGCACGTCTCCACACTTTGCACGTGTTTCGAGGGTTCGGATGTCAGAAGCGGTGCCCAAAAAAGGGCCCAAGCTGGTAAAAGGAATGAATCCGAGAGTCCATAGATGCCAGCACCTCAGGTCTTGCCTAGACCTGACCTGCGGCTTGGAACAGCCAATCGTCGGGCAGCAAAGACTGGAAGAGACGCTGGGGGGACGCTGGGGGGGGAGAGGGGGGGAGGGGTTCTCTCTTCGGGGGTTTAGTTGGAAACAAAAGGGTGCGAATCAGACCTGCCCTTCTGGTTTTGGGGAACATGGGGGTCAGCCGATGTAGGGATGAGTTGCTGAAGCACGTGCGGTGGGTTAACACGTCTTCAACGTCTTCTTTGATAAGGTAGCTTGGTGCTGCTCAACGAATAGCTGAACAGCTTCAGCGTGACGTAGTTTCTTCCGCCTGTTTGTCCATAAGTTGGAGCCGAAGTAGTTGCGGATTGAGGCATTGGAGATCTCGGAGAGCGTTTGGGATTTGAGGTTTGAGGGTGGGTGGAGAGGTTTAGGGGAGCTGGTGGTGAGTTCGGCTTTGGGGATTGCCTGATGTTTGCTCTTCATTCGGGCTCAAGATTTCAACCGGAAGGGCCACCCCGAAACCCCAATACCCCCGGTATACCTCATCGATGCTCATCGTCAAGCACACTGCCCCGATCTCCAGGACCTATGCAGCCGTAATGACCAGCTAAGACTCCATCACGCTGAAGGCTCCGGTTCGCCTTCGTGCCTCTCATCTCCTTTATTAAACCAAAAACAAGCTTGTCCATAAGAACGGAGAACCCAAGCCTGACTTCCGAGTGCCCGGTCACCCCCCCCAGGCAAGAAGAATCACTATGGAGTTTGAAGACGGAATCCACTGGATTCCCCCAACCCCCAGGCAAGCCTACCCTGCCAAATTCCAGCAGGGCCCAAAACCCTGGGGTCCCTAAATCCCTGTATACCCCCCTATACGCCCCAACAGATCCAACAGAACCCTCGAAAAGCCATGGCCTCTGGTCCATGTGGTGGCGTCGCCGGCGCTGCTCCGCGGGGAGGTCGGAGGATTCTTCGGATCTTGGGGTTTCTTGGGTTTAGGGCTCCCGGGATTCCACGGGGTAACGTATAGGGCATGCGCTTCTTTCTGTCCAGGCTACACCCCACACCCCATAAGACCGATCATCGCTTGGACCAGGGCTTACGACTCCTGCGGGTGCCCCCTGAGGTAAAGGTCCGGGGCAGCGGCGGATGCTGCTCAAGGGCCTGCGCATGGGTGGGAGCCCCGGAGCTTGGGTAAAGCTTCACTTTTATAAATATAACTACATATATATATATATATATACATATAGTTATTTATTTATTTATTTGTTTATTTATTGTTTTGTTGGGAGGGGGGGTTGCTGGTCTCAGAGTCGGACTTGACTCCCAAGATCGTGTTCTTTTGAAGGCCGGACAAGTGGTCCTTAGCTGTCAAGACAAGCCGAAGCTCCCACATCCCTAAACCCTAAACCCTAAACCCTAAACCCTAAACCCTAATGCCTAGTCCTCCAGTGCAAAGTTGTGTTTAAAAAAATGTGCCCTCTGCATGGGAGCACTACAGTGAGCCGGGCAAGATCCGACGGTCCAGTCTTTCTGGTTCCGGGTGCTTCGGACAGATTTGGCAGAGCCAGTCACCTAAGATCCGTTGGTGCCTTTCCCATTGAAACCGACAGTGGTCCCAGATAACAGTAGTTCGCATAGGCATCGCATAGGCAAACAACAGCCCGAAACCCTTTGGTACCTAAGCAAACATCGTGCTTTGGAAAAACAGCCTTGTAAAACAGTTCCCATCATCCCATCCCTCACATCCCAGGACCTCCTAAGACCCATAGGCCCTTGTTCCCTAAATCCGAAAACCTAAACCCCATAAACCCTAAACCCTAAACCCGGTACCCTTTCTATTTTAAAGGCCATATACTCTTGGGTCTGGCATCCCACCAGGCGCTCATGTCTTCATCCGCTACAGGGAGAAGAAGGGCCCGGGCGTTGTTGAGGAAGCAGGGACCAGGGCTTAGGGTTCAAGGGCTTTAAGGGGTTAGTGGAATGTTAATTGTAGAGTTTGGGGGCTTCACATCCATGCGAAGTGCCGAAAGCTGACTTATCTGAGGGTCCCTGCAGCACCTTGCATGCGCGCAAGCTTTTGCTTCAGACGCCATCGAGCTCGACTGCTGCGCTCGTTTTTGGAGAGAGCCTGCTCATCCCTGGAAAGTTCAAGGCGTTACGATCCTTCTTATGTCTCTCGCTGGCCCCTGTCGACCGTCATGCTGGCCGCCAATCAAAGTTGTAGCTTATCAGCTTATGAGTTTCAAAAAGGGCCTCATAATTTATTTGATTTTCTGGGCCTCCTTTGCAGGTTCATTTCATACGTTCATTCACTCGTTCATTCACCTCATTCACTCACCTGTTATTTTATTTTCTTCACAGTTTGCTATTACTATTAGCCCACACATATAGCAAAAGAAGAGAGCGCGGAAAGATTAATATTATTATTCAGTGTGTTGGTTTCGTTCACACGTTCAGTTAATATCATTCACCCTCTTCACTTCTCTGCGCTTGTAATATTATTATCTTCACGTTGTTCTCTTCACAGGAGCTCTCAAGGTGGTACCGGATCCGTGCGGTCGGTTCCTATCTTCGGTTCTTGGCACGTCCGTGAGCCAGCAATAAAAGACTTAAAGTTAGCTCACGGGGATGTACGCTACAACTATTTACCTAACTCGCGACACTTGTCCATAAGCCCCAAATAACAAGAAGCCCCCCCCCCCAAAAAAAAAAAAAAAAAAACTAATTAAAATAATAATGACAATAATAATACATTTTTCATATTAATAATACTAAAAGCCCGCGCGTTTCCTTGCGTCTTGACTGGCTCCACGGCCACAAGATCACCAGAAATTTCCAAGAAAAGCTCGCTTACGACGATGTTGGTGATGGTTTCGAGCACCATCCCCTGCAAAAGAAGGACATCAACCTAAAGTATTCATTCAATTCGTTTTCGAGGCTGAAACATAAAGATTGTGTAACTTGATTCACATCCATGCTTGCTGAAGGCTCAACGTTTCTTTTTGACCAATCGCTTACCTTTTTGAGAAGCCGTTCTGGTTTGCAAAGTTCGTGAATATTCGTTCTAATCGATGGAGTGACCATCTATGAATGCTACATTCTTCAGCATGCGGATAGGGCCCCAGGTTCTTGTGGACCTTTTCAAAGTTGGCCTGAATCGAAACCCAACATATCTGAGCATGAATCTGTGCTTTGCAGAGCAAATCTTATGAGCTCTTAGTAGGCAATTGCGGAGTTCTGTCCTCTTCGCACATATTGTGGGGCACTCAAGAAGCATCCCGAAGCTCTCAACCTGTCAGCCCCAAGGCTGTCGGTTTCTGAGCCTGGACTCCCCCAAACGACGATTCCATGAATGAACTGAAATTCTTTGTAGCCCGAACCCTCGGCACCCGGTTCTTCAAGTCTGGCACACTCAGGCACCAGCTCTAGACCCATCCTGAGTGCCCGAAAAGAAGAGGGTTGCATGTTGCACTTGTGCTTAACACACAAAACCCTAAACCCTAAACCCTGAACCCTGAACCCTGAACCCTAAACCCTAAACCCAGCCAGATCTTGGGTGCTAAGTTCTGGGCCTTCCGTACTCATCAACGGAGGCCCAAACTTCGGGAAACCAAAAGAGAGAGAGTAGCAAAATAAACCACCAACAATCACTTAATTCAAATGGCTAACATTTGTTTGTATATATAGAGAGAGATTGTATAAACATAATATACGTAATATATATATATATATACACACATGATAATATGCTTCTTCAGATACGCATGTTAAAAAAATCAAAATTCAAGCTGCTTGAAAAGCAATAGCCTCTCCAGGAGCGGCTGGACTTCGAAGGCACCATCGCCGACAAGCGTGTGGGCTGGGACAACCGGGAGTCCTACGTGGAGCTCAAGGCCCTTATAATTTAGGGTTGAGGGTTGAGAGTTGAGGGTTTAGGGTTTAGGGTTTAGGGCCCATAATCTGAAGAATCGGTTGAGGGTGTCAGGGGGCTTCGGGTTTAGGGATGGCCACACAAGGTTTGCAAATTTGCAAAACCCCAGAGTCGACACCTCAACTGCGGGAGGGTGTTCAGGTCACTGCACTCGGGAATCCCTACACCCCTAGGGTTCAGAGTTGAGGCCGACACTTCTGAGATCGAGTGCGAGAGCGCTTCTGAGCACTTCATGCGCATGTGACTTCATGAGCTGTCGACTTTTTTGGCAGCCCTGCAGAATCCTCACAGTTGATGGTCCACTTCAGTCCTCTTCAGCACAAGGGTTGCATAGCTTAGGAGCGGCCCATGAGGGGGGCCCGATTTTCTCTCCGAGCCGAAGCTACTTCGGGGTCTTGAAATCAGGCATGTTCCTTAGTTGGGCTCGCGCGAAAAGCCTTACGGAGTATGGCCCAGGATACCTTTTGCTTTGTCCTCAGCTTTCCCTGCATGCCATGCGCCTGCAGGAGTGCATCAGACTGAATAGAGACGGCGAGATCATCGAGTGCATCCGGCCACGCTTCGGGGTACTGCATCCATTTCCCAGACTCTTTCATTGGAACCAAGGCCCAGCTCCAAACGGGGTAGCACTCGGTGGTTTGGTTGATTTGAGCCAACTTGGTGGCAAGCTTGTGGGAAGGCTTTGCGCCGCAACGGGCAGGCTTGAAGTTCGCAGCTTACAGGGGATTTGGAAGCTCTTAGGTTCGCGCAGCCAGGATCGTCGGAAAGAAGCAGCTTTTCGACGCCTTCATTGAGGAAGTCGAGGTGGCCAATGCCTCAGCTGCTGTTGGCCAACTTGTTCCCTCTTTTCCAGTGGAAGAAGTCCTGCCTCTTCTAAGTGCATATCTAAAAAGGCCACTCAGCTTGGAAGGGTGTCAAGAATCCGGTGGAGGGCTGAAAGCCTCAGCACCAAACCCCCGAAACCCCTTAAGCCATGAGTTGGGGAGTTCTACGTCCCTCCTCTGCCCAAGTGTGTGACGACTTGGACATGTAATTAAGGGATAGTTGAGGTAGCATGTATCCTGGGTAGAGTCCAGCACTGAGTTCTTTCGTGATTCCGTATAACGCGGAGTGCACTTGGAATAGTAGAAGTAGTGTACCACAAAGGCCCAAACGGGCTCCAACGCAAGACTCTGAGACAGCGTGTGCCTCGCCTGGCTTGTCCGAGTGTGAGCGATTAAACCCTAAACCCTAACCCTAAACCCTAAGCCCTAAACCATAAACCCTAAACCCTAAACCCTAAACCCTAACCCCTAAACCCTAAACCCTAAACCCTAAACCCCCACGAAGCAAAGGTCGAGAAGACCGAACGCCGGCTCTCCGCGGAGCTCCAGGCCGCCCAAAGCGCCCAAAGGGCCAAAGCCAAGAAGACGCCGGCGCATGGCCCTGGGGCTCAGGCAAAGGGGTTTAAGGTTTTTTGGGTTTTGGGCTTTTAGGGTTTAGGGTTTAGGGTTTAGGGTTTAGGGTTTAGGGTTTAGGGTTGTTAGTTATTAGAGTTTAGGGTTTATAGGGTTTTGGGTTTAGGGGTTAGAAGGGATTTTGAAGGGGAGGCATGAGGGGGGGGAGGGGGGCATTCTTCCGGTGTTTGTTGAAGTGTGGGGAGGGGTTGGGGGGGAGGGGGGGGGGGGGGGTGAAGGTGCAGGTGGAGGTTGCACTGCACAGTGCACTACTTTGTTATTAAGAGGTGTAGGAGATTCGGATTGCTGCAGGGGAGTCAGAGTTGGAGGAAAGCTCAGGCAAGCCGGAGAATTCCGGAAGATGTCGGAACGTCTTGAGTGTCCCTCTTTTTTGGCAAGGACTGTGGAGCACATGGACCTTGCACAACCGGATTTCTTCAGATCAACGCAACCTAAAAAGGGCGGGCGGTGAGCCCAAGGAGATCCAACCCCCTCAGTTGCAAGGTGGCGCTTGGCTCTGTCCCACAGGTGGGCGGCGCAAAGGGCGAGGAGACCGGGTTGGTTTTGCGGGCAAGTCTTGATGGGTGTTCGGGGTTTAGGGTTTAGGGTGGTACACACAGGAGCCCTGAAGCAAAAAGGGTTTAGGGTGGTATGTTTGGAGTATTGCGGTTCAAGAGAAAGGCCTGAATAAGGCCATTTTATCGGCGCACTTCCGTGAAGCCGGGTTCACGCAAGCCCTGGGTGCGCCAGAGCTCAAACTTTGTTCCGGCAACGACTCACTTAGCGGAGGTCCAAATGCCCCAGAATCGACACACATGTAAACCTTTGCAGAGTTCGGCAAGCAAAGTTGAGTGCCATCCATCCTGAAGCTGCACCCAAGCGCCGAAACCGCAAACATCCTAAAATGTTCAAAAGATAGATTTATTGAACAATATAGCAAAAAGAGATCATTTTGTTCTTAAAATGTTAATGGACAGTATTGCTAAACAGCGGCAGCATGACACACGAGACGTGAGGACAGCGACAGCGACGACGGGGTAACTCCCGGCATGCTTCCGGGCATGCGACTCGTCAGTCGACGTCCGCAGCGGGGCCGTTTGAGGAACGGACCCATCCCAAAGGGACCCATCCTTAAACCCAACACCCTCAACCCTACACCCTAAACCCTCAAGGTAGGAGGTTTGGGAGTCTAGGGTTCAGAGCTGAGCTCAAAAACGTTGGTCCACCAACATTTTGCCTGTGCCGGGAGGTGTCGGGTTCGGGACTGAGTAGGGACTACTGTTTAAACAAAGGGAGTTTCTTAAGAGACGATGGAAATCAAAGATGCCCGCCAGTCGCGCGAGATTCTAACTTAGGTATGAGCTTGCAGGGTCACATCCGGAAGTCGAATGCAGCGGCCTTTCTCCGAAGCCTTGATGTCAGCCCTGATGAAAACTCTATTGCCACCAACGCACGACACGTTCAGTAAGTCCCGGTTTGCGGAGACGCCGAAACAGAAAGGATGTTCCTACGCCAATCTCCAGATTGTGGTAGCTGCAAAGATCTCCCAAGCCCTGAAAACCTCTTCCTGCATACAAGGGACACGGCTCCCCCAAACACTGCACGACTCACCCCCCCCCCCCCTGAATCGCTAAGGATGTTCGGCATGGGAAACATGGGACCCATGGGAATGGGCATGATGCCACTCGGGCTTTTATTGAAGCTAATTCAAGAAGCCAGGGTTTAGGGTCAGTGCTCGGGGCGTCAGGGATCAGCAGGCAGGCGGCATTCAAGCCCGCAGATTCGTTTGTTGCGGCGAAGAGTTCGTGGTGAAAGGGCTGAACTCCTTTGTCCAGGTATTTGATGTCATTTCGCACATCATTGTTGTTAGTATTACTATTACTATTGCTATTGCAATTTTTGTCACAACTTTGTTTGCGAGTTTGTGATGATTCCTGAGAACCATTGCAAGCAGTACAACATGCATTGTTCAAGTAAACAGAACGACCGAAGCTTTTTAGCAGCATCAGGCCGCGAGACAGAGAACTGAGATTGTCGCGCATGCTCTTGGATAGATCGACACATAACAAGCAACATGTGTGCATATCTGACCTACAGATGAGCAGTACAAGATCTGTGGGCAAGGGTTGTGCTTCTTGGGCTAAGTGAAGAGAGGCGAGGGCCTGTCCAAAACTCATAGCTATAGTCTCCGCAGGAAGTGTGTTTTTGTTTGTTTTGAGAAGTGCGCGCGCATGTTTGTGTGTGTGGGTGTTTAATGACCCGACACTGTGATGCATGAGCATTTTGCCGATGTTTCGGAGATCTGAGATGGCTTCATTCAGACAACAAAGAGCCGATCGCCGAGGCCCATGGGCATGCCAATGGGCATGGGCTTCATGCCGATGATGCCCATGGCGACTCGGGGCTGCTCTGGGGTCTTGGGGTGGTCATTGGGGGCTCAAGTCTGGGCGTGAAGGGGCCCACACCCCTAAACCCCAAACCCGCAACCCTAAACCTTAAACCCTAAACCCTAAACCCCCTAAACCCTAAACCCCTTGAACTACACAGTGCCAGAGAGGCGATGCCCATGGCCATGCCCGGCATGACCATGATGCCCACGGCGCCGACGCTGCCCGGGCCCATGGCTGCTCCCGGCATGGCCCCTGGCGTGACGGCGGCCTCCCCACCGGGAGGCGCTGGGGCTCAGGGTTCAGGGTTCAGGGTTTATAAGGTTGAGGGTTTAGGGTTTAGGGTTTAGGGTTAGGGGTTGCCTTATCCACAAGGCAAACTGCCAAAAAAGCCCCCCCTCAAGCCCAGAAAATCGAACTCCCACCCTCAAAAACCCGAAGCCCGTGTCGCCTCCCCCGGGGCCCACTCAGAAAAAGGTGCGCTGTCACCGGGTCGGCCGGCGCCGGGCGGACCCGAAGCACGGAGTCGCAGCGCGGTCCCCAGCACTTGTGCTTGCTTAGGGTTTAGGGTTTAGGGTTTAGGGTTTCGGGTTTCGGGTTGAAAAGTTTAGGGTTTAGGGTTTCAAAGTTTAGGGTTTAGGGCTTAGGGCTTAGGGCTTAGGGTTTAGGGTTTAGGGTTTAGGGTTTAGGGTTGAAAAGTTTAGGGTTTAGGGTTTAAAAGTTTAGGTTTAGGGCTTAGGGCTTAGGGCTTAGGGCTTAGGGTTTAGGGTTTAGGGTTTAGGGTTTAGGGTTGAAAAGTTTAGGGTTTAGGGTTTAAAAGTTTAGGGTTTAGGGTTTAGGGTTTAGTCCGGTCTCAAAACAAGGAGAGAGAAAGGGCTTGGGGATGAGGCAGGCTTAGGAAGGTTTACTTAGTGGACCTTAAAGAGGGATAGATCGGGTACCGGGGAATTGATACCCTGCGTTAAGAATTGGTATGCCTAGGGCAGTTTCCAAGAGAGGTGCAATCAAAAAAGGCTTGCTTGATTGCTTGCTTGAAGGTTGTGCACTTCTTTGTGTGTGTGTGTGTGTGTGTGTGTGTTTTCTTTTTTTTTGGGGGGGGGGGGGGGGGGAGGGACGGGGTAAGTACAAGCAGATTCCACCCAGAAAAGAGCTCCTTCTAAGGGCATCGAACAGACAAGTTTCATGGGCGGATGAGGTCCTGAAGTGGAGTCGAGGGCATTGTCCCGCAATAGAGAGAGAGAGAGAGAGAGAGAGAGAGCTAAACCCTACACCCTATAAACCCGATAAAACTTTTCAACCCTATAGACCCATAGACCCTAGAAACCTTAAACCCCAAGAACAGAAAGAACAGAAAACGATGGCCGTTCTTTGATTCATGCAGGTCGGAGCCGCTGATCTTGAGTGCAGAGCGCACGGCGACAGCGACACCCGCTGGCCTCTCCCTTGGCAGCGCAGTGGTAACCTTCACCCTTTTTGGGTTCTAGGTTCCCTTATAAAGTAACCAACCCAAAAAAAGGGGTGCCCTTACCATAAGATGGTTGCTGGGCTACCAAGCTCCTCCTCTAGGATCTACAACATCATGGGCGGCTTGCGCGTGGGATTCCCGCACCCTTTCTTGCCCGGCAAGCTCCAAAAATGTCAGTCGAAACCCCCAAGCCTCACGAACAAACGCATCAGCAGTTTCACCGCCAGGGGTGGCACTTAGACAGGCGGCCGGTCGCTTTCGGAAAGCCGTGTGTGTGAGCTCAGCCTTGGGTGTTGCCTGCTTCTCTGAACCAGAGATATGGGCATTTCCCAAAAGAGGGGCACCCCCTTTAACACCCCAAATGGAATAGAATCTCCTTTAAAGGGACCCCCCAAAAGAGCACCCTATTTTCGGAAACCCCCATTTATGTTTTTTTTGGTGCCAAGCTGGAGCATGCTTGCTCGCCCTCTCCTGGCTCCTTGTTCTTCTAGGCACTCTCTTCTCGGTCGCTTCCTTTCACGCGCAGGGGCCTTCTGTAGTTTTGCCTGCTGTTGTCTGTTGCCTTTTATCCCCTTTTGGCGAACCTGGCTCTATGCTTCCCCACATCTCGTTATTTCTCCATCCCCTACCCTCTCCACCCCGCATCCACCCTCGCCTGCCCCTCCTTCTTGATTCTTCCCATCCCTAGCATCCGTCCCTCCCTCCCTCCCACCCGACTCCGTAGAACAGAAGCTACGCAGCAGCACCGAAGCTCTGTGACACTCCGAGTCTTTCTTGTCTCATCTTGTCACCGCCGCAGAGTGATTCTCGGCTCAGTTTCAGTGGGTTCCTTGAAGACGCCAGAGGCCTGTCTGGAGTTGAAGGTTCATGGCTTCCAGGTTGCCAAGCACCTACTTCTCAGGGCCCCTTGCAAATCTCCAATCTCCGGATCTTTCTTCCCCCGACCTGAGAACAGGCTCTCAGAGCCCTAAACCCTAAACCCTCAACCCTAAACCCTAAACCCTAAACCCTAAACAGCTCGAAGCTCCCAAGTTCCCTACGCTGCGTGCAGGCACCCTATGGCCACTTATAGCCCGTATCCAGGACTGCTGGGGGCCGGAGGTATGCCATGATGGTGTTTAGGGTTCAGGGTTTAGGGCTTAGGGCTTAGGGCTGAGGGCTTAATTAGGGCTTAGGGGTTAGGGTTTAGGGTTTAGGTGTTATTGCTGTTGGCCCCCGGGGTTGAAAGCAGCTGAGTTTGCTGCAGTGCATCTGAAATCACTGGAATCACTGGGACCTCTGGCCTGAAACGCGAAGTATCAGAAAACACAGATTACACTCCTAAACCCCCCTACACCCTAAACCGTCCGGATCAAATTTAAGCCCCCTAGCCTATAGAGCCGCGGCCCAGTTTGCTAGTTCAGGATGCCCGTCATCTTTGGTGTTCGGGAAAACCAGACAAAATCCAGCGCTAAACACGCAGAAAGAGAGACACCTCTCTCTTGTTTCTCGGGTACTACTATAGGGGCATCCTGAAACTTCTGAAGTGCAGAGAGGAGGGGCGAAAACTCTACACCTTTGTCCTCCCCTTCATGGGCTCAGGGCTTTTGACAGCTGCGCATGTTGCTCGCGATCCTACAGCACAGATGTGCTGCCCCGAGCCCGAACCCCAAAACCGCCTCGGCGCCCAACGCCATCCAAAACAGCTCCGAGATCTTCCAGTCATCCTACAAGCAAGCTCTGAGATCTCAGGAGCGTACCCGGGCCGTCGCAACCCAGTGGCTTGCTTCCTTTTCTGGGAGGGTTTGCTCCCCTCACCGTTTTTGTTTGGGTTTTCCTATCGGCATCTCAAACTTACGGGAAGGATGTCATCTTCTTGGAAACCCTAAACCCACCCTAGAACCCTCGAACCCCAACACCCTAAACGCTTAAACCTTAAAGCCCGAAAACCCTACAACCCCTAAACCCTAAAACCATAAAAACCCTAAAGCCATCTCGGCTCAAGATTTGTACAGATCCTCTCTAGTCAGTTCGACACCCACTGGACAGACCTTCTCGAGTGGAGGCACGAACAGCAGGACATCTTCGGTGAACAAAGCAGCGAAAGACTTCAAATTGAACCTGACGATGCCAGATGTGTCATTGTTATCTCAAGTATCAGTTATCGTTCAGCTGATGGCTGGCGAAGACGTGGACCTCGCCTGTCAGGGCTTGCACGACTTCGACGGTGGCCGCTACAATGGCCAGTGGTTGAGCGAGCCGCGCGGCATCGGATCAACGCCGAGGATGACTCTCGTTCTACGGGCCAATGGCTCGATTTCCGCATGCACGGCTCGCGGACCGCTGAGTTTCCAGATGGCGAGATGTACGAGGGTCAGTACGTCTCTGGCGACAAGGAGGGCGCTGGCACAGCTATCTGGCCTACCGGGGTCGTCTACACGGGCCAGTGGCTTCGCGGAAACAAACACGGCCAGGGCATGCAGGAACGGCCGGACGAGACCGTTTACACGGCAGTGGCTTCGCGGGTCCATGAGTAGAGCCTCTACGACAGGCAGTTCCAGATGGGCCAGGTGCAAGGGCAAGGCACCTACACCTGGAAGTCGCTACATTGGCCAGTGGCTCGATGGCCACAAGCACGGCAGAGGGCGCCTCGAAACGAATGGCCAAACATGGGCAGGAGATTTCAACAACGACGTGCAGGTGGTGACCGAAGGTGTGGCTGTGGCTACTTCAGACCGGCAGTTTGTCGCGTGCACGCCCGACCCTGCGGCTTCCACAACTGGTGAAGTCACTTGGCATCGTGCTCCTCCCTTGCCGGACCAAGGAGGACACACGGGCGAGCAGCTCTGGAACCAACGAGGCCCCGGCTGGTGATGCAGCCCGCGGGACAGCCTCAACATTTCAGGAGCTGGGCGAGTTCGGCTGCTGCGGTGACTGAGACGTTTTTTGCGGTGTGGCATGTTTTTGATTGCGTTTTAGCATCTGAGCGGCTGTCGCGCCGTGATCAGAGATCACTGGACGCTTGTGGGCATTAAGGGTGCCTCTTTCCAAATGCAGGATAGAGTCGTAGGATGGCTCTCTAAGACTCCAAGTCTCTGGACAGCGCACTCTCTCTCTCTCTCTCTCTCTCTCTCTCTCTCTCTCTCTCTCTCTCTCTTTCTCTCTCTTTCTATATATAGCTGCTCGATCCTCTGCTACTACTCTCTGAGCCGCTCTCGGATGACTCCGTGGATGAAGAAAATTCTGGTCGGTGTATACTGTTAGCCATCCTGCTTCAGGGAAGACCCTAGACTTTGCCCCCGGGCCCCGTTCACGGATGTCTGTAGGGCTTTTAGGATCTTAAAGGTTTGAGTTGTAAGCCTTTTTGGGTTTAGGGTTTTAGGGTTGAGGGTCTTAGGGCTTTTAGGGTTTTATGGTTTAGGGTTTTAGAGTTTTAGGGTTTGGTTTAGGGTCTTAGGGCTTTAGGGTTTTCGACTCTCACACTAGCGCACGCGCAGGCAAGGCTCCGGGGGTCCTCTTGACATACCACAACACATTGGTATTGGCTGCAGCATGGTGCACTGACGCCGCTCATAACCAGCAACCCACTAAACAGTAAGAACCCATACTGGGCGCGGCGGCACTAGCAAGTGAGTGCGCCTAGTCCGCATTAGGACTGGGCAAAGAGCCCTCCACTAAATAACAGTATACCCTAAGACCCTAAACCCTAAAACCCTAATCCCCTAAACCCTGAAACCCTAAACCCTAAAACCCTAAAACCCTTAACCCCTAAGCGCTAAACCCTAAACCCTAAACCCCTAAAACTCTAAACGCTAAACCCTAAACCCTAAACCCTAAACTAAACCCAAGACTTGCCCTTCGGAAGCTGAAGGCGAGCAAGGCCCCCCAGGGGTGGTCCGCAGCGATCCAGAGCCGAAGGTACGAGGCGCCCTTGAGGTTTGGGGTTTCGGGTTTAGGGTTGCTCAGAGCCTGGGTTCAACAAGGGTTTAGGGTTTAGGGTTGAGGGCTGAGGGTTCAGCATCTCAAGTTCGAGCATTTACTAGGCCAGCAGTGTGTGTAGGCAACGGGAAAAACCCACCCGCCCAAAGAATCCCATAACATCACCAAAAATTAAAAGTGAATTAATTTCTGTTCAGACGCACCAAGAGGCCAAACAATCACACAGGCCTCAAGTTATTCCATCCATGAATCCTGAGTCCTGAGTCAGTCCTGTGCCCTGCTGGCTTCGTGGCTCGTTGAGCTGCAGTGCGTGAGCAATTGGGGGGCCAAAGGGGTCAGGGGGGCAAGCCACCAAAGTAGCTCAAGTGCTGAGCGGGATTGAGCGGGTAACCTGTGAACCCCTTTTCGTGGTGTGGTTTTGCGTTGCACCCGTCGCGGTGTTGAGCTTTCATTGAGTGCTCTAACCCCCCACCACCACCCAAAAAACTAAGGACCCCCCATACCCACCTAAACCCTAAACCCTAACCCTAAACCCTAAACCCTAAACCCTAAACCCTAAACCCAGCAAGTGAGACAACTGGCAGCTCCTAGCTTGGAGGAGGAGGCGCTGGCTCCAGTGGAGATCAAGCGCGAGGCCGATACAAGAAAGGGAGGGGCTCAAAGGGACCAGCTCAGCGTCGAAAGGTTTGGATGCGTAGGGTTTAGGGCTTAGGGCTTAGGGCTTAGGGCTTAAGGCTTAGGGCTTAGGGATTAGGGCTTAGGGTGTTGCATCCTCCTGGACTCTTTCAATGGCTCCACGTCGCATCACGTCGCTCACAAAGGGGTTCCCAGGCCAAAGTCCCAGGTCCTTGGGATCACTGCCATTTGCACATAACAGTCGTGGCACAGCGGCCCTAAACGATGCTCCAAGATGATCCCCCACACGTGAACCTCCAACTGCATCAAGACGCTCAGCTGCGCGCTTTGCATCTCAGACCAGTTTGCAAGATGCGGTACCGCACATGTTTGGCCACATAGCAATGCAATAGGTGATAGGTGCACGAATTGTGCTACGCAGTGGAAGTCCTTCATTGCCCGAACCCCCAAGAACTCCAGTTGGCCAGGCGGTGGCCGACCGTGCCAGCACGGAAAGTGCGGGAGGTGGCGGCGGGGGTGGTGGCGGAGGCCCACCCCTGCAGCTATTGTCACATGCTTTTTGGTAGTGGTTCGAGTTTGAGTGGCTTAGGGCCCAGGTCCCCAGCTAGCCCAGGGTCTGGGGTTGAGAGCTTCGGAAAAGAACCACGGACATGAAGGGCCAAGTTGGAGTATGGAGAGTTGAACTCGGCAGTCCAGTTCGGTAGGAAGGTCCATCCTTTTGAGTCGTCAGTGTGGTGCCTCCAACATCTTCGCAACAGTCCAGACCTCCGAAAAACCGCGCAAACTCCAGCAACCGACGAAGCGGCATGGAAACGCCCAACCTCTTGCCCACAAAGGTGCCCGACTCCCCTTCATGATCCAGAATCTGCACTTGAGCCCAGTGGGGCTTCAGGGGTTTTAGGGGTTTGGGGTTTAGGGAGTTTCTAGGGACTTCTAGGAAGTTCTTCATTGTTGAAGCCTCGGACGAGGGTTGGGTAGAGTCTCCTGAGGGCTCGCCGTTTCTTTCTTTTGTTTCTACAGGACCCAATTTTGGGAGGTGGGGTGTTACTTCCCAACCCCTAAACCCTAAACCCCAAACCCTAAACCCTAAATCCATGCTGATTGAGTTTCAGTCTCAGGGGGCAGACTGGAGCCTCGATCAAGAATCTTTTGGCCAAACGTGGAAAGACGTGAGTTTCGGAGACCGACAATGATGTGCTGATGGGTTTGTGGATGGGCTATCTACGGCAACAGTGGATGTGGTATGACTTGTTTGTAAAGGAGACTGCGATCGGTTCGAGTGGGGGACTGGGTGTTGTGGCGATTTGAGTGTATGCCATGCCGCCTTGACGCTTACGGCTCAGGGATATTGGGATTTCGAGGCGAGCCTGGGCTCGATGTCCGGAGTTCTCTATGGGAAATTAGGGCCCTAAACGCTAAACCCTAAACCCTAAACCCTAAACCCCTGGTGGTTGGCCGAATTCTGCAGAAAGCTTCCTGTGCCTGATGTCGAGGTATCTGGCTCCATGCAAAGTCGGAGCCGGCACGGCATACACGATGACCCGGCTACAGCCCAAGGACACCCACTTCCTTGCCACTTGAGAAGAAGTTTAGGGCTTAGGGTGTAGGGTGTAGGGTTAGGGTTTAGGGTTTAGGGTTTAGGGTTTAGGGTTTAGGGTTTATAGGGTTTAAGTTTAGGGTTTAGGGTTTGTTAACTCATCTTCCCCCCAAGTAGAGTAGTTAGATGAATAGGACCTCACCCCGGAGTTTTCTTGTCTCTGCCCATGCAGGATGTTGAGAAGCCATCATGGGCCAAGTGAGATTCTGAGATGACATTACAGTAGCCTCTTCCGCCCAGACTGGGCTTTGACGTGCATAAGCTAGCTGCCTCATAGCCCAGGGATGGGATGCACAAGTTGCGACTGCCATGAGACGCGCGGCAAAAGGGTGGGCAGATGCAGGAGCCCTAAGACCTCTATGGAACTGCCTTCCTATGAGATTCGCTGCGTACCTTCCCATCAACAGCTACCATCCGAGCATTTTTCTAGGATCGGTGTCGTCCTGCCCTTCGTCTTCGCCGGGAGGCTTTCAAGCTCAGAACTAAGCAAGTGTTCCCCGACATCCCCGACTGAACTCAAAACCCTGGTACGCCGAAATCCTCCAAAGGCTCTTCAGTTTTGTTTCGGAGAGAATTCAGCAAAGTGCTCCGGATGGTCCAATTGCCTCATGGCATGGGTACCAAATGATGGTCTTCGGCGGCTGAGGCCGAGTGAGTGCATCTGAGCAGCCTTGAGGTGGGCGTTACGTCGGGCCAGCATCTCCTTAGTAGTAGAGTAGGTAACCTTTAACCTTTTTGGGGTAGTATAGTCCCCTTATAATCCCAAAGGTTAACCTTAAATTCCCCCAGGTTACTGGACAACTAGGTCTCCAAGGGAACGAGGAAATCAACCATCTGTTACTATCCTTGCACGGTTCTTTCTGGAACTCCAATTCAGGAAGCTAACCACATAGAATCCCTGCCGTATTAGTATGTGCTCTTATCTTTCCCGAAACGCAAGCGGAAAGACTCTGCTACGTAGTTCACTACCCAAGTGTGCATACACATGTGTATATATGTATAAGGGTCACACGAACCTAACTCTTTTTGAAAATATCTCATGCAAGCTTTTTGAACTCGCGTTCTTAAGCTCATGCTGAAGATAGAGAGCAGGAATGAGAGAAACTATGTTTTTGCTTTACAATGCAGGCTTCTGTATTCTGTTCGCTTGCAAGGAGTTGTTTTCTGGTATCACCCTCACGTCTTTACAGCTCTTAAAATTCTGCTTCTCTCCCTCCCCAAGAAAAGACTCAACATATGACCCAAACCCCATAGCCATAATCCTTAACGTTCCTGTAAAAGAGAGTATGGGTGGCGTGGGGGTGTTTTGTCGCACGCCTTTTTCTTTACTTTTTTGTAACCCAAAGGATATGTCGAATATTTCTAGTGACGTGGGTTCAGCAGTAATGTTTACGGCAGTTATTCTGTGCTGTCTGGTTTGTGGATTTTTAACTTTGTCCAGCAGCAGGGGAGAAGTCAGAATTCGCAGGCACAACGCCTGAGGCCTGCGACCTCGATGCTAGAGTACAACTCTTCACTGTTCGGGCTTGGAACATCTCAGGACCTTAAGGGCCTCGGGCTTCGCGTAGGGTTCCTGCGATTTGTGGGGATCCTCCCGAAAGGCAACCCGCGGATGTTCAGTGCAACATCGTCATAGCAGGCAGGATGATTTAGTGGCGGTGCATCCATTTTCTCGCGGTGCACGCAGTGTGTCATGTCTAGAACCTTATATGTGCAGCATGTCTGTGGAAGGTTCGGAAGCTTGTATCTAAGTCCTGCTCGCGAGCCGGCCACGTCTGTAATCTCCTGGCATGTTGTGGGATGTCCGGCTCTCAGACGAGGTGTAGCATGGTGTAGGGCAAGCAAAGATGAACCCGTACGTGCGTGGATGTGTGCTAGCAAGCTCGTGCTTGTTGCAGTTGATGCTTTGTTGTTCGTGTTCCACCGCTTTGCAATTGTCGTTGCCTCATGCTTCTTGCCGGACAAAGGTATAGCCGCAGTGCTCAAGAAGCGCAGCATCCCCCCCAGAGGCTTCAAGCAAACATGGCGGAGACAGCGGCTCCATCGCCGGCTGAGAGCAGGGAGAAGCTCCCGTGCTCTTGGCGATACGTCTCCGTGTGCATTCTGCTCCCCGCCCTGGGCGGTGGATTGAATGGCTTCATCTATTCAGGCTACTCGCTCTACTTCCGGGAGATGGGGTGGGACCTCGGGATTGCAGGGATCTGCCTCAGTTTGGGGGCTCTCGGAAGAATCTTCTTCCAACAGTTGCAGATGCGTCTTGGACTTTGGACAGCAGCACCCATGGCAGCCACGCATGTCACTTTGGCGATCCTGGTCACCATCTTCCCTGACAAGCTCTGGGCCGTGCTGGGGCAGTTGCTTGCCATCCTCTTCTTCGACACCACCGTGACCGTTGAGGTGATTTGCTTTGAGGTCTTCGCTGGCTCAGAGAACCTCGCGCGGCAGGCAGCGGGCACGTTGCTTGCCAGCTTCACTGTGGGCTACGCGGGCTCGGCCACCTATGGCGGGATCATCTACGATCTGTGGCGCTGGACCGGCATGTCCTGGTTTCACACCATTGCATCCTCAGTGAACTTGCTCCTCATCTTGACCATGCCACCAGTGAGGAACTCGTGGAGAACTCTGCGAGCAAAGGGTGCAGCAGCCAGCTCTCAAGAAGCGAGAGAAACCAGGAAGCGTGCGGACTCCGCCCAAAGCGACGACTCCTCCCGGTCTCAAGCCATCGCAGCTACGGATGTGAATGTGGATGTGCTGAACTGGCCCGTAGCATCAGAAACGGGAGTGCCAACCAACCACGCAGAAGAGGACCCGGAAAAAGCGAAGGTCCAGCTGGAGAAGCCGGCTTCCTCCCAGACCACGTCGAGCACAAGGAGCGGCAGAATCCCGGTCGAGGCGATCATGCCGGCCATCATGATTTGCATGAACGGGTTCGCAAACCATTTTTCTTACCACACAGTATGGGTGACGTATGCGATCTTCTTCAAGGAGCATCACGGTTGGAACGAGGCGACCTGGGCAGGCCTTGCGCAGACGAGTGGCGACATCCTTGCAGCGCTGGCCATCTCGCTGTACTTGAAGCGTAAGGTGGTTGACCTGAAAGAGACCCGGGGCATGCGTTGGCTTTGGTATGCTACAACAGGCCAGCCCTACAACGTGAGCTGCTGGATGGTGATCTGGGTTTTCTTGAATCTGGCCATCGCCAGCCCGCTTCTTCCGATCTCCGTCGTGGCGCAGGTGCTCATGGGAACGGCCTACACGTATACCATCAAAGCCAACACCGACCTGAACGTCTTCTACTCTTTGGGCTCTACAGAGACCTTCATAGCGATGCAGACCGCCACTCGCAATGCAGACTCACTTGGCACCTTTCTGGCCGGCCTTGTGGCTACACAGCTGTATGAGGTCGTTGATCCCTGCGCGCCCTTCTATGCTTCCGCGCTGGTGGTCTTTGTGACCCTGCTGCTGTTCACGGTGTGTTTCTGCCGTCGCCTCGGCTTTGGGAAGAACATCGATGCAGCAGAGGAGGCTCGGTGCAAGCGCCTTCAGATCAGGCGCTCCAATTCCTGGGGATCCCGTTCGACGTCCTTCTGACTTCCCTAGTGGCATCTAAGTCATCCATGTCAATATGCGTCAGTCAATTTTGTTTGCTCAATAAATGTGTCAGTCAATTTTGTTCGCTCCTTGCATCTAGCGAATCGGGTGAACACGCCCAAGCGCCGGCCCAAGGTTATAGAGCCAGGCTGGTTGAAGGATGCAGAACGAGGCAGCGTTTCGTAGGATTCGGGTCGTTTTTTCCGCGCCTGGGCGGCTTTTGGGCTGCCTGCTGACGCAGCGACTCTTCCTGATTATCGGGCACATATATGAGTTCTTGAGTCCTTTCACGGCTTGCCGTGGTCAATGTTTCCTGCCTTCGGGCCTTAGGGTATTGGCCTGAGGCAGCAGGTGCAACAAAAAAGCCGATGGTCCAGGGCCTATAAGTGCAAAGCTCGTCTCTGCACCCTCCGGCGACGCTCCTCTCGACGCGCGAAGGCGGGACCTGTCGACGTGCAGGCACACCGGGGGCTCTTTGGCTGCCTTCTGAGGGGTGCGAGAGGCGTGTTAAGAGGTGTTTTGAGAGGTGCTTTGAGGTGCTGTGTAAGACTTTTCGGCAGGGGAGCAACGTCGTCGTGCGCGCTGGGCTCCTGAGCAGGCAGGACGATTTCGTGGCGGTGCATCCATTGCCTTGCGGTGCACACAGTGTGTCATGTCTGAGGCAGGTTATACCCAAGTCCTGGTAGCTGGCCCCGCCTTTCTTCTCCCGGCATGTTTTTGGATGTCCGGCTCTCAGACGACGTGTCGGGAAAGAAATGACAAACTCCGTACGTGCGTGGATGTGTGCTAGCAAGCTCGTGCTTGTTGCAGTTGATGCTTTGTTGTTCGTGTTCCACCGCTTTGCAATTGTCGTTGCCTCATGCTTCTTGCCGGACAAAGGTATAGCCGCAGTGCTCAAGAAGCGCAGCATCCCCCCAGAGGCTTCAAGCAAACATGGCGGAGACAGCGGCTCCATCGCCGGCTGAGAGCAGGGAGAAGCTCCCGTGCTCTTGGCGATACGTCTCCGTGTGCATTCTGCTCCCTGCCCTGGGCGGTGGATTGAATGGCTTCATCTATTCGGGCTACTCGCTCTACTTCCGGGAGATGGGGTGGGACCTCGGGATTGCAGGGATCTGCCTCAGTTTGGGGGCTCTTGGAAGAATCTTCTTCCAACAGTTACAGATGCGTCTTGGACTTTGGACAGCAGCACCCATGGCAGCCACACATGTCACTTTGGCGATCCTGGTCACCATCTTCCCCGACAAGCTCTGGGCCGTGCTGGGGCAGTTGCTTGCCATCCTCTTCTTCGACACCACCGTGACCGTTGAGGTGATTTGCTTTGAGGTCTTCGCTGGCTCAGAGAACCTCGCGCGGCAGGCAGCGGGCACGTTGCTCGCCAGCTTCACTGTCGGCTACGCGGGCTCGGCCACCTATGGCGGGATCATCTACGACCTTTGGCGCTGGACCGGCATGTCCTGGTTTCACACCGTTGCATCCTCAGTGAACTTGCTCCTCATCTTGACCATGCCACCAGTGAGGAACTCGTGGAGAACTCTGCGAGCAAAGGGTGCAGCAGCCAGCTCTCAAGAAGCGAGAGAAACCAGGAAGCGTGCGGACTCCGCCCAAAGCGACGACTCCTCCCGGTCTCAAGCCATCGCAGCTACGGATGTGCATGTGGATGTGCTGAACTGGCCCGTAGCATCAGAAACGGGAGTGCCAACCAACCACGCAGAAGAGGACCCGGAAAAAGCGGAGGTCCAGCTGGAGAAGCCGGCTTCCTCCCAGACCACGTCGAGCACAAGGAGCGGCAAAATCCCGGTCGAGGCGATCATGCCGGCCATCATGATTTGCCTGAACGGGTTCGCGAACCATTTTTCTTACCACACAGTATGGGTGACGTATGCGATCTTCTTCAAGGAGCATCACGGTTGGAACGAAGCGACCTGGGCAGGCCTTGCGCAGACGAGTGGCGACATCCTTGCAGCGCTGGCCATCTCCCTGTATTTGAAGCGCAAGGTGGTTGACCTGAAAGAGACCCGGGGAATGCGTTGGCTTTGGTATGCGACAACAGGCCAGCCCTACAACGTGAGCTGCTGGATGGTGATCTGGGTTTTCTTGAACCTGGCCATCGCCAGCCCGCTTCTTCCGATCTCCGTCGTGGCGCAGGTGCTCATGGGAACGGCCTACACGTATACCATCAAAGCCAACACCGACCTGAACGTCTTCTACTCTTTGGGCTCTACAGAGACCTTCATAGCGATGCAGACCGCCACTCGCAATGCAGACTCACTTGGCACCTTTCTGGCCGGCCTTGTGGCTACACAGCTGTATGAGGTCGTTGATCCCTGCGCGCCCTTCTATGCTTCCGCGCTGGTGGTCTTTGTGACCCTGCTGCTGTTCACGGTGTGTTTCTGCCGTCGCCTCGGCTTTGGGAAGAACATCGATGCAGCAGAGGAGGCTCGGTGCAACCGCCTTCAGATCAGTCGCTCCAATTCCTGGGGATCCCGTTCGACGTCCTTCTGACTTCCCTAGTGGCATCTAAGTCATCCATGTCAATATGCGTCAGTCAATTTTGTTTGCTCAATAAATGTGTCAGTCAATTTTGTTCGCTCCTTGCATCTAGCGAATCGGGTGAACACGCCCAAGCGCCGGCCCAAGGTTATAGAGCCAGGCTGGATAAAGGATGCAGAACGAGGCAGCGTTTCGTAGGATTCGGGTCGTTTTTTCCGCGCCTGGGCGGCTTTTGGGCTGCCTGCTGACGCAGCGACTCTTCCTGATTATCGGGCACATATATGAGTTCTTGAGTCCTTTCACGGCTTGCCGTGGTCAATGTTTCCTGCCTTCGGGCCTTAGGGTATTGGCCTGAGGCGGCAGGCGCAACAAAAAAGCCGATGGTCCAGGGCCTATAAGTGCAAAGCTCGTCTCTGCACCCTCCGGCGACGCTCCTCTCGCACGAAGGCGGGACCTGTGGACGTGCAGGCACATCGGGGGCTCTTTGGCTGCCTTCTGAGGGGTGCTTCGAGAGGCGTGTTAAGAGGTGCTTCGCAAGACTTTTCGCCAGGGGAGGATGTCCAGACTCCGCATGGCGAATAGCCTGCCTCGACTCGACCTCAGATCAGAGTTCTTCCCTGCGCTAACCCAGTGGGAGGTTGCTGCATCTTCAACATTCACTACCATAAAGGATCATACACGTGTTGATGCTGAAGATGGCGAGGATATGATGAGATGATCCGAGATGAGGGTTGCAGAAGGCGACGGGGACTGTGTGGTGCAATGGTCAGATTTGCATCGAATCATTGACACCCACAAGAAGCTAATCGCCAGCATGCAGACCTTAGCTTCATCTTCTGCATACTCATCAACACCATCTCGAACATCAGAATCTTTTTTTGTAGTCTTCCGCTCCTCCTCACATCTGGGCAGCAAAGACGACAGGTGGCAAGACATCTTGTCCAGAAGCTCTCCAGCGCTCTGCGTGACCAGGTCGGCTGAAACATGAGAGCACAGTCCGCAACATACGAATGTGCTTTCACCTGTTGAGGGCTCTTGTTTATGCAATTATGAGCATGAGTGTTGTGCTGAACTCCTCAAACCATTCCAGGTTACCTTCGAAGGTCCAGATGCGCAGGTAGTGGCCGACCTTCCAGCACGGATGCTGCGGGAGGCGGCGTCATCCGAACTGGACATCTTGATCCCTTCTTCCTGGGCTTCGATCTGAGATGTGTGTTGCCCTCCGGGACAGCAGCCATGTGGGTAATTAAAATTTAGAGTCTGAGTGCAGCCATGGCAAAACCCCCCGGCGTCGTAGGCCGACTGATGTCCAGGACGTCTTTTGAAAGTCTACGTATCCAACTTCTGCACCTGCACCGCTTGTGTCGCCAAGTCTTTCTTCTTGGGATGTCTTCGGATCTTCCCGGATGCCCGCATCTCAGAGGCGTTGGGAAGCAAAGACTCCAAAGATGGATTACGGCTAGCTGCTAACTATAGGGACGCCGGCAAACAATTTCTCAGAAAGCCAGGCCGGACCTTTTCAACGAACTGCTTGTTCAGAAGCCGTTTTCAGCTGAAGAAATCCTGCTTCCACGCGCGCAGAGGCTTTCAGGGTTTAAGGGTTGTAGGGCGAGTCCAACACGTAGAATCCAAAGACCCCCGCCCCACCCCTTCGGGTTTAGGGTTTAGGGTTTTGGGTTAAGGGGTCAGGGTTCAGTGTTTTGGGTTTTAGGGCCCCCCCCCCCCCCGCCGCCCCTACCTTGCACGGCAATATGAACGCTGCGAAGCGATGGCGACTATGATTCTGACAGACCTAAGCCTACCTAAGCTACGCACAATCGCTAATGCTCATCGGGTTTCGGTTTTGGAGCATGGGGGGGTGGGGGGGGTAGGGGACTTAGACCCTAAATCCTAAACCCCTCCTCGGGTTTAGGGTTTAGGAATTTAGTAAACCCTAATTACCCTAAAACCCGAAAAGAGGGGAATCAGGGGTCCCACGATGTCGCACGCGAGTCTGACGCCACACCGAGGCGAAGGTTCTGGTTCCTGAGACCAGAGTTTGGTCGGAGAGCCGAGGCAGCTGCAGGGCCAACGGTGTCAGGTTTAGGGTTTAGGGTTTAGGGCTTAGGGCTTAGGGTTTAGGGTTTAGGGTTTAGGGTTAGGTGAACTGCAAATCTGTGAGAAGTTCCTCCATGAGAAGCTTGTGTTGAACTGCGCGTGTTGGTGCTTGATTCCTTAGCATCCTTAGGTGAAGTTGTGCTTCGGAGTAGGCAAAGTAATTATATACATACAATTACACACACATATAATATATCGTTACCTCTCTCTCTGTTTATATTGCATTATGCAGCTGGTATAGCACAAGAAACATATCCATAAGTTAATGAATCAATCGCTACTCGGGGTGGATGATTGTTTTATGGACGAATGGAGGGATATGGTAGTTTTCATGGTGTGGCTATCATTTTTCGTTCATGCGATTTCATTCAGCACAGGGTATGAAGCCGTGCTTAGAGATTTAAGATCATGGTTGCCATCACTGATCTACGCATCACGATCAGATTGAAGGTGATTCTGTCCGTGCTTTGTGGTTGCAATCGCAAGGTCCCATTGTATGCTTCACATTTCAGGCGGTGAATATTCGACGAGAGGTGTATTTAGGTCACTGAACTCAGCTTTTCGGGGGTCTTTCTTGGGACGATTTTGTAACCTCAGCATACCTCGATGCGAATCCTCAACCAATTTGGGCTCTCTTTCGTGCCACCTTGGCGCCCTCAGGAAATTGCAGGATCCTTTGATTTGCCTCAGTTGCGTGTGGAGCTTGGCAACCAGGTGCCGATCAGACACGTAGCAGCTGGCACAGCATCATGCAGGATCCAGGGTCGGACAAGATCTGACAGCACAAGAGTGAAACAAAAGTAGGTCCGTAGGTCTCTGGCTCAAGTCGCTCCAAGCGTATCACGTGGTGAACCCGGAAGATGCCACTGCTTCGCCAACTCCTGTTTGCTACTGCCGGTCTGGCAGTAGCGGACAACCTGACTACGAGACAGTTGCGAGGGAGCTGCATTCCATCCTACAACGTGAATTGCATGCACAACCCGACGTGCTGCGATCCTACGACCACCTGCTATGCCAAAGATCATGCTGTGGCCGTGTGTCTTCACAGTTGTCAGCCAGGGATCCATTCGAATGACTTGCCCCAGTACCAAACACCTTGGACCTGCGATGTCGTTGGGAAAGCTCCGCCAGGGCCTCCGCCAGCGCCTCTGCCAGCTCCAGCGGCTCCGACCCACCAGGAGAGCAACGGGAAGTGCACAGCGAATTACCATGTGAATTGCATGCAAAACCCGACATGTTGCGATCCCAAATCCAAGTGCTACGCGAAGGATGATGCTGTGGCCATTTGCAGAGAGAGCTGTGAGCCTGGAATCCATTTGGATGATCCACCGCAGTGGCAAACCCCCTGGAGCTGTTCCCTGGTGAGCTCATCACCTACCCTGGATCCAAGGCCGGACCACCCTCAGCCGCCTCAGCCGCCTCAGCCCACGTCCTTGTCACGCCCAAGCAGCGGACAGCTGATGGAGTTCGTGATGTACCGAGCGCAGAATGATGCCGACTACGAGCTGGAAAATGTTAATGCTGGAAATTTGGAGGGAATCATGTGGTACCTGCAAAATGAGGTCTTCAGTGGCGTGTATGGACCAGGCCCCAAGTTTGGTATCACGCGCATCCTACGCATCAAAGTCCTAGTTCGAGCAACACAGCCATTGGTGGACAAGGGCATGAACTTTGGCATTCGGGTTGCCTTTGATAGTGGCAAATGCACGGGTCCAGATTGTGCCATGGATTGGAGTGACTATGGTTACAATGTGGGCTGCAACAAATTGGGTGACTGGCCATTTCCAACCTATGACACCCACTTCGATGGTGGAATTTGGTACAGTCTTCCCGGTGCGTGCCCTTCTTTATCCTACCTGCACGAAACCGACGACCCGGCTTGCAAAATTAATGAGCCAGGCGGCAAATGCCCTGGTATTCCCACAGGAGCTGGGGATTGCACGTGGAACTATGAAAATGCCGGGGAGTTGCGCCTGACTGACCTGTACCGGGACAGAGATCACAAGGCCTTCTGGGCTGGGAACAGCGATGCGGAGAATCAGCGTAAGGTGGAGGTGGCCCGAGACCTCTTCGTTGCGAAGTACGGTCCTGATCCCCCAGTGCCTCCATGTGACTTCAGTCAGGCCAAGGTTTTTGGTCGATGACGTGGCTGCAGCTACTTTTGAATGGTCATATAGAATGTCTTTGATACCTCATTGCTGTAAAGCTTGCTGCTTCTTTTGGTGGTGTTTGGTCAACGCCCCATGTGTACAGGATGTCCAGTGAGGTCATTGTGGGATGAGGATTCCAACTGATCTGTACATCCGAGGGCATGGCATTGATGTTGATCCCCAGCGGTTGGCAACAGGTCACCGGCTGTACAGAGGAGACCTTCAACATCGCAAGCATTTGATGCAGGAAAAAACACATCATTGCCCTATTCAAGATTGGAAGGTGCGCCGGTCTCCTGTGGGATTTTGTTCACAGAGCGTGGGGCTGAGATGCACCTGCAACTGACCCAATAAGGTCTGCATTTTCCTCATGCCGCTGGCTGGCCACTCAGGTTCTCCAGCAGGATGAACTTCCTTGTAGCTGAAGCTGTTGGATAAAATGTCGGAATTACATGTTAAATGCAAGCAACATGATTGTCCATGTCAGTCTCTGAGGTCCAAACGCCCCGACAGCATCGAAGACGCTGAAGACCTCTCGCAGAAGGCCAGTGCGAGGGTCCTGGAGGCCTGGCCGGCGGCATGTCCAGATTGGCCATGTCAGCAATGCAGGTCTGGACGTCGTTCAAGATTGGCCGATTGTCCAAGACGCGATCGGCCATCCTTGCCCGCAGGATTGACCTGCACAAAACGTTACCCCGGTTGTTGGGTTCGTTCTTGGGTGGGCGGTCACAACTGACAATCTTATGTGCTTTGTGCTTGGGCAGCTAAGACCTCCACGACCCAACGGCAAGTTCTAGGCCAGCCACGCCAGAGAACAAGGAAATCACAGTAAGTGGAGTGCCCTGACTGCCCTGACAGGATTGGCAGTTACAAACTTGTCAAGATATCAATCAGATAGCTTATCTGACTGGCCTTCAGGGATAGCCAAGGGCAATACTCCTCGAGTGACCTCTTGCAAACGTGGCCCTCAGGATCTGTCTCGGAGGAAGACCTGGTGCCACAACATTGCTTGGGAAATGTTGTGCTTGAAAGGAACAGGAAAGCAGAGTTCTTCCTGTTTAAGGGCCCTGCCAGACACCCACTCTGCAAAGGGGTTCCAGATCGGCCTCTTCTTCCTTAGTAGCTGGCGGGAAAATTTCAGTTGTAGTGACTGACAATCATAGCAAACAAAAGTTCCCAAAACAAAGATGAAAAGGCTCATCACCAAGAAACTCCATATGTTTCATAGTCGCGCCAGTACTCCGAATTCTTCCCTTTGCGCTTGACCATGGCTCGGAGTGGCATTAAATTATAGAGAGACCCCTTGAAACTAGGATTAGCTGTAGCTTAGTTCCATTAATGGGCAAAGTCATGATATTTTTTATTTGGCCCTGAATCTCTTGATCTTGTGCAATCGCAGCTGCGCAATAGAGGTTGGGAGGGAGGGCATTGGGGTTAGGGTTTTGGGTTTAGGGTTTAGAGTTTAAAGGTCAAGGGTTAAGGGATTGGGGCTTAAAGGTCAAGGGTTAAGGGATTAGGGTTGAAAGGTCAAGGGTTGAGGGTTTAGGGCTTAGGGTTTACAGGTCAAGGGTTAAGGGTTTAGGGCTTAGGGTCAAGGGTTAAGCTGGGTTCTGGTGTGGGATCAGGGCCATTGGGACTTACACTGTCCAGCCCTCCCCAGTGTCCTTGGAGTGGCCAGAAGGTGGCAGGCCCCCCTGAGCGAGGCTAGGCGGGGGGGGGGGAGGAGGGCGAGGGGAGGGGTGGAGGGAGGTGGTGGTGGAGGGGGAATGGCTATACTACACGATTGTCATCATGCAGGGTTTAAGGTTTAGGGATTTGGGTTCAGGGTTAGGAATTTGGGTTTAGGGCTTAGGGTTTTTAAGGTTCAGGGTTTAGGGTTTATAAACCCTAAGCCTATAGGCTTTAGGGTTTAGGCTTGGCGAATTGGCCTATGACGATCTGACAGTAGTTGATGAGTTGAGCGACTTACTTAAATTTAAAAGTTCAGGGTTATGCAGCTGGAGTGACCTTACAGGGCAAGGACGGTTTTTTCACGACCTGACGTAGGGTGTAGGGTTTAGGGTTTATAGGGTTTATAGGGTTTATAGGGTTTAGGGTTCAGGGTTTAGGGTTTAGGGTTTAGGGTTTAGGTTTGGGTTGTATACGGTCGGGAACCTCTCACAAGCCGAAGAGCCCCAAAGTAAAGGAGTCCGAGCCCATAGTGCCACAGCCATCCCGAGAAGAAGTCTACTTCTGTGCCGCATGTCTTTCGGACACCTCATGCACCGGAAAAGCCAGGTTTTCGTTGGGTATTGTTTAGGTTTGGGGTAGTTTTGGGGGGATTCTCTCGGTGCTGTGCGTGAATTTGCCCTTCGAGGCCCCATTTGCAATCCGACGCGCTGAGCATTCTCCTTGTGTCGTTTCGCAAAAATGGCGTCATAGCTGTCATTCCACCCTGTTGGCTGGCCAGGGGATAGCCACAGTGCTCCAGAAGCTCAACCTCCCCCCCCTTCCCAGAAGCTTCAAGCAAGCATGGCGGAGACAGCGGCTCCGTTACCCGCGGAGCGCGGGGAGAAGCTCCCCTGCTCCTGGCGATACGTCTCCGTGTGCATTCTGCTCCCAGCCATGAGTGGAGGGTTGAATTCCTTTGTCTATTCGAGTTACTCGCTCTACTTCCGGGAGATGGGGTGGGACCTCGGGATTGCGGGGGTTTGCCTCGGTTTTGGAGCCCTTGGAAAAATCTTCTTCCAACAGTTGCAGTTGCGTCTTGGACTTTGGACAGCCGTGCCCATGGCAGCCACGCATGTCATTTTGGCGATCCTCGTCACCATCTTCCCTGACAAGCTCTGGGCCGTGCTTGGGCAGTTGCTTGCCATCCAGTTCTTTGACACGGTTGTGACAGTTGAGGTCATTTGCTTTGAGGTCTTCGCTGGCTCAGAGATCCTGGCGCGGCAGGCGGCGGCCGCATTGCTTGCCAGCTGGACCGTAGGCTACGCAGGCTCGGCCACCTACGGTGGGATCATCTACGATCTTTGGGGCTGGACCGGCATGTCCTGGTTCGATAGCATTGCGTCCTCACTGTTCTTGCTCCTCATCTTGACCATGCCGCCAGTGAGGAACTCGTGGAGCAGGCTGCGAGCAAAGGGTCCGGCAGCCGAGACGCAGCGGTGTGCGGACTCCGCCCCAAGCGACGACGCCACCCGGGCTCAAGGCATGGCAGTTGTGGATCTGCACGTGGATCTGGATGTGCTGAACTGGCCCGTAGCATCAGAAATGGGAATGCCCACCAACCGCGCAGAAGAGGCGCCAGAAAAAGCGGAGGTCCAGCTGGAGAAGCCGGCTTCCTCCCAGACCTCGCCGAGCACAAGGAGCAACAAAATCCCGGCCAACACGATCATGCCGGCCATCATGATTTGCCTGAACGGGTTTACAAATCATTTCTCCTACCACACGGTATTCATGACCTATGCCATCTTCTTCAAGGAGCATCACGGTTGGAACGAGGCGACCTGGGCAGGCATTGCGCAGACGAGTGGCGACATCTTTGCTGCGCTGGTCATCTCGCTTCATTTGACACGTAAGAAGGTTGACCTGATGGAGGCACGGGGCATACGTTGGCTTTGGTATGCCTCAACAGGCCAGCCCTACAACGTGAGCTGCTGGATGGTGATCTGGGTTTTCTTGAATCTGGCCATTACCAGCTCGCTTCTCCCCATCTCCGTCGCGGCGCAGGTGCTCATGGGAACAGTTTACACCTATTCCATGAAGGCAAACACGGACCTGAACGTCTTCTACTCCCTGGGCTCCTCCGAGACCTTCATCGCGCTGCAGACCGCCGCGCGCAACGGAGACGCGTTTGGCGCGTTTCTGGCCGGCCTCGTGGCCACGCAGCTCTATGAGGCCGATCCCTGTGCGCCCTTCTATGCATCTGCACTGGTGGTCTTGGTGCCTTGGGGACGAAATGAACCCTAACAGGGTTTATGGCTCATATATGCTCATATACCTTTAGAGTAGTTATTCTAGTAGTATAGTATATATGACCCCAATTGTTGGGTTCGTTTGGTCCCAAGGTGACCCTGCTGCTGTTCACAGTGTCTTTCTGCCGTCGCCTCGGCTTTGGGCAGAGCATCGATGCGGCAGAGGAGGCTCGATGCAACCGCCTTCGGATCAAGCGCTCCAGTTCTTGGGGAGCTAGGTCCATGGGATGAGCAGCCTGCTCAAGACTAGATTTTTGCTTGGAGTCTTATGTCTCTTTTTCAGAGCGACTGTAAACGAAAGGGGGGGGGGGGGCCGTGGCTTCCTTGGGTCCCTTGGCACTCCAAGAGTGCCAAAACCCTGGGAGGAACCCAGGAGCACCCCCCTTCCCCCCCCCCCCCCCCCCCCCATCGCCTAAATCCCAGATCGTCCGATGCTTCATCGAGAAGTTCTGGATTGCTCAGAGCAGCTACATGAATTGCAATAACCAAGGGGCTGGCATACGTACTCCACGATCTGAGATCGAGAGGCACTCATTTTCCGCTCGTGGTAGCAGACGGGGGCCCAGCGTACAATGTAGACGCGGTGTATACTTGCGTGCGCTCATGCAAGGCTTGGTCTCGGTGGCTTCGAGAAAGTCCGAGTTGAGGAGCGCGCTCAAGATCGCGGCTTGCGCGGTCGAAAAGAGTTCGCGCCGCATGCTACCTGAAGAGGATGGAGGGCCCTTCAGGTTGGACTGGAGGTCTGCCTTTCCCTCGCACTGAGACCCTGGACATGGGGTCCACGAAACCCCCCGATTTTGCCAAAAGCCTTGGGGCCTCCAGCGATGTTCCTCGAAGCTGCTGAAGGTTCGTGAGTTGACATCAAAGCAAGTCCATGCGACATACACGCGACTGTGCTTCCACCGGCTTACGTAACATGACCGCGAGTACTGTGCTCTGATGGCACTCCTTACAGCCCTACAGTACTTTCGGGTCTCTTTGATTCCTTCCATTACCCAGAGCCGAACCTGCCGAAACGCGCACGTCGGGCGATTGATGTTCTTCGGAGATTGTGGCAGTGAGGACTTCGGATGTTCACCCCATGGCCTTGCCTGCCTATGCGCGAGCGTCGTAAACTGTACGTCTGTACGTAACCTTTAGGGTCTCGATTCAGCGAGCTACAGGGTGTTATTCACCCTTGCAAAGAAGCCTGGTTGCACAAGGTATGTCTTCCTCAAGCTCGAATACGGCACACAGGCTACCGTCCGAAAGCGTCACCCTAGTACCGGAGCCTATTTTTGTTAAACCAACAAGTAGCCCCTCCTCAGAATCCTGATATTGTCGGCATCGCATGAGCTGCCACAATAATTCTCGGTGAATAGGCCCTCTGTGAACCCAAGACCGTTTTGGGGCTCTTGGTCCAAGCACCCCGAAAAACGAAGCTATCATGATACGACAACCCTCCCCAAATCAAGCCTTTCTCCGAACAAACATAGGAGCCAACTTGATTTCACAATGGAGGTATGTCAAGGTTTTTGGGGAGCTTACCTCACTCTAAGGATGCAGGGGCAAGAAGGAGACGATGGTGGCGTGCAAGCATCTTCAAGAACAAAGTCCCACACGTCACGAAGTCCTATATACCCCCCACCCCCCACCGAAAACCCAAAATCGCCACATGACGCGGGCCCCCGCGATGGTCTTCGGAGGCGGCCGAGGCAGCTCGAGGGTGGAGGTTTTGAAGCAACTAACATAGTCCTGATGGCTTCGAGACTCAGCAGCAAGTTTCAGGGTGTACCTTGCTGTGGTTCCAACAGCCCTTGGGCTTGGAAACGTGCTGCGGCACCTGATTTCCTGCGCCAGCCTTGCACACCAACTCTTCCGTGAAGGTTGTGGTTTTGGAGTGTGGGCTTTTTTTTTGCAGCTTTTAAGGCGCCTAAACCCTAAACCCTAAACCCTAAACCCTGGGTTGGTCCTCCCCGAGTTCCGAAGCATAAAACCCAGCGGGACGCAGGCCCAACGCCTTTAGCCTGCGAGGATGACGAGGCCCGCCAGATGCCAACCAAGGGTTTATGGTTTAGGGTCTAGGGTTTAGGGTTTAGGGTTCAGGGTTTAGGGTTTAGGGTTCAGGGTTTAGGGTTCAGGGTTTAGGGTTTAGGGGCGTCCAGGAAGCCTTGCTGTCTTCGGGTTCGCCATAACACAGCTTTACTTGCAGTGTTTTTGCCTACCCTACCCTACCAGGGGGGGGGGGGGGGGGGGGCTATGTAACCCAAGGTTCCCGAATACTCCCCACTACTCCCTAAGCCCCATGATCTCCGCCCTGTCAGGAACCCCATAATCAGCCCGAATAGTTTCAACCCGACAACCCAGCGGGCTTGCGTGACGTTGAGAGGCGCTCATGTCTTGCGTTGTCCCCGTTGTTCGTTGCGTTTTGGTTGCTGATCTGGGGAAGCTGTCAGTACTACAGGCTGCCTGGTGTGCTGACCTCACGGATGGTCTTTAACTCAGACTCCCGAATGCCTAGTTCCTCGTACATTGACCTCGATTAATCGCTGTAGTGTTGCGGGTAATGCCCCAAAGACGATCAACCCTAAACCATCCTGAACCCTTTCGAGCCTGGCCTGCGCATGGTCTGGTGGGGAGAGTCGAAACATGTCGAAACCTTTTCAAGCCCCAGAAGCTTGCGGCAAGAGAAAACGGGGCCAAGTCCTATCAAGCCTGTACACCTTTAAGCCCTAGACTAGTGAGGGGAGAGAACCAAAGCCTAAACCCTTGCGTTGTATTATGTCATACGCATATATGTAGAACTTGTATATCCGATATTATTATATACAGATGTGTATTTTTAGTTTGTTTAATCATGTTTTGTATCAGTATACATGAATTGATATCGTGATATATCATGACATATTGTATGCGCGCACATACACACATGAATGCATACACACATGAATGCATACATACATACATACATACATACATACATACATACATACAGGTATATAGGTGTATAGGCAACATCAAAATACAAGGGTGCCAAGACCCGTTGGGCAGAACTTCTGGAAGGCCTCCGATGCCACGTCACCGTCCGTGCCCGGCACATCGGTGCGGTCGAGTCTCTGGAGCCCCTTCAGTATGCCACTTGGACCCAGATGTGAATCTGCACGGAAAAGAAATATGAGAGAGAGAGAGAGAGAGACGCTCCGACTGACTCTGTAGAGCGTGCCCCTCGGGGCGGCCCCTTCCTGGGGGTCATACGCACAGCAAGCAAGCAAGCAAGCAAGCAAGCAAGCAAGCAAGCAAGAGAGAGAGAGAGAGCGAGCGAGCACAATGTGCTCGTCAGGGAGTCGTATCGTATCGTATCGTGTACTGGCCCTACATATCACAAAACTGTCTTGAATCTACCGAACTCCACCAAGCACCCTGTCTCACACCGACAAACCCGAAGAAGCGTGCCCCTTGGGCGGCTCCCTTTGGGGGTCAGGCGCGCTGCAAGCAAGCAAGCAAGCAAGAGCGAGCGAGAGAGAGAGAGAGACAGATTTGCACATACGTATATGCATATTTGCATATGCGTTTGAGTATCTATTGGTGTCTTTGCCTTATATGTATATGTGTATTTGTCTTTATATGATATGTGCAGTTATATTTATGCTTACATGTTTACACATCACGCGTGGGTACATGTATATACAGATAGATCCATTCTTTATAACAACACACATGTCTTGTTTGAATATGAGTTGTTTGGGATGACTCTGGATGATTCACCCCCTCGGCATCGAGACCTCATAGGTTTCACTGGTATGATGTATACTTTTTGTGTGGCACTCGGGGGGAGGTGTTGGTTGGCCCTAAGGTTGGCGAAGCCCCTTAAAGGGCTTGAGGTCACTCAGGTATTTCAGATTTCTGCCAGGTAGGTAGAAGAACATTTCAACAGGCGGGGGTTTGGTTTTGCGAACTGAACCGCGGTAAATGCTGAGTCTGACCAAGATTGGCTTCATGTTTGCTTTGCCTGCGGCAGGACGGTTCGGATTGTAGATGTATGTAGTCTGTGTCACGCTGGAGAGGGATGTTGGCCGAACCCCCTACAGCACCCCCCTGCACTCTTAGACTAAGGCTCAGCGCAACCATTGCGAAGCCCCTAACATCGCCATGTCTCTCCATGGCCGTGGTGGAGCAGGCCATAACCCTGACTTGCGGATGGGCACTGCGGAGCCCTAGTCCTAGTCGTCCCTTCGGGTGTCGCAGGTGACCCCCCTAGTCCCACACAGCACTTTCCATCTTCAACCATCTGCAACTCCCAACAACCCAATCTCTGCGCATAAAGATTTGCGAAAGAGCTGGCCCCCCTAAGAGCGCAGCAGCCTTCCAGAAAGGAAGCCGGAGTCGAAGGCGAGCAGAGGCCTGGGAAGGTTTGAAGACGGGGGGGGGGGGGGGGGTTGGGGTTTAGGATTTCGGGTTTGGGGTTTAGGATTTGAGGTTTGAGGTCTAGGGTTTAGGATTTAGGGCGGGCGTTTTGTTTAGAGGTCTGCTTGGGCACTTGCAAGGTGAAGGCTCAGGGGCCTTTGTGGGTTCTCAGAATTCCCCTCAGTCACTCAGTTACACGGGGGGCAAAAAGCCTGTTCTGGGTCAGGGCCTCCTTACGATGGATTGTTGGGTTCCTTCTATTATTTTAAACGTATGAGAGAAGATTCCTTCATCCCTCAACACCCAAAGATTCACAAATTGAAGCTCCTGCCTGCCACGTGCAAGTGTGAGAGTCTGTGAGTCGACGCCATGGAGAGTGCTTGCAGAAAGCCCAAACCCCCTACATAATCCCTACAGCATCCCTAAACCCAAATTCGTCTCTTCTGCTAGTGGGTTGTCTTAGCCCTACGTAAACAATTCCTTATACCCCTAAACCCTAAACCCTGAACCCTAAACCCTAACTCAAACCACGAGCTTCGTACTTGAGCTGCGTTCTCCAGGCTGGGTGACTTGGTCGAGAGCTTCCTGACGGACCGGTGGATGATCCGGGGGTTTCGGGTTTAGGGTTCATAAGGGTTACCAAGGGTTCATAAGGGTGCATAAGAATTGGGTTAATAAGTGTTTCATAAGGGTTAATAAGGGTGAAGGGTTGAGCTACAGGGCTTTTCCGTTGCGAATGCATGCGACTTTCTGCCAGATCCATTCTCGAAGTTGTGGCCCCTTGTACACCCTCCAGCACTTACCTTATTGGCCCGACCACCCCTCGCCGGGGACTTGCGCGGGGTGGA